GACAATCTGGTGAACTTGCTTAAGTTGTGTACACCACCATAACTCTACAAGGCAAAGTTCCTCAAACTTAGAAATAGATGCGCCAGTTTTCATCTGGTTTTTACAGACAGGTCCAAGACCGGCGGGGGAGTGGCCACCTTCTGGTCGTTTCCCCATCATAGCAGCGATAAAACAGCAGTATGGGATTTGACACCCTCTCAGGGCGATACGGACCGAAGAAGGCTCAGCATGGTTCTTTGAGCGTTGTTTGGGTTATACGAGACAGGCAGACCCCCTCGTCATGATCTTGTTCATCATGTCAGATCTCCAAGCTGGAGTGCCTCAGAAAAATGGTGGTTGTAGAAATGATGAATGATGGAGTGAGTGCGGTGTTCAATCCTTTTTAAAAAGATAGTTCCTACTCATAGTAAGTACTCAGCCTGGAGAGTAACGAATGTGTGGACAAGCTGGTGAAAGTTGGTTTGACCGGACCATCAGGCCCTCTGGCACTAAGCTTGCAGTGAAAAACAAACAAAGATGACAGCGTCAGTGGGCGGGGTCATCTGAGAGACTTTTGAGAGTCAAGAGTAAGACTAATCCTTAGAGAACCTGAGCCAGAGACAAGGGATTGTCCTCACCCAACTGAGGATTGGCCATACGCGGCTGACACACGGGCACTTGCTTTTAGGCCAAAGCCCACGCAGGTGCCTCTTATGTAGAGAAAGGTTGCCTAATGTGTCCCACATAATAGAGGTGTGATTTGCCTTGGCTCCATACAGAGAATGTGTAGGCATGCTGCCCGATTTAAGAATGGTTCTTGAGCACAGCAGTCTGTTCCTGGATCCTTTTTTAGAGGATATGGTTTTTTTTTATTGTATATAGTTATATTCTATGTGTTTTGTCATTGTTTTATTTGAATGCGTATATTTATTAGTGTGAGTGGTGAGGGGCTGATAGTGAAATATAGCGTCACCATTGCCCCTCCAGCAGTGTGTGTTTAGAGTTGATGGCGGAATATTTATGAATATACCCCATTCACTCTAATTTAGTTTAGATTATTAACACTGTGTGAAGGTCGACAGAGGAATATCCAATACTCCACCGATTAATCAGAATGAGTGCAAGGCATGAATGTATTTATTTGTGTGACTGAATTATCTAATGTAATCAGTATTAACGCTAGAGAATAGTTTGCATGCATTTGGGGCTGAAATGACTTAAATGTCCGTAGCCCCCATCGGAGCCTCATCCCACTGGTAGATAAGCGATGATCTCCTGGGCATTTGGCGATCCAACCACATAATGGGGGTGGGTGAACTCACTGATGTATAGACACTCGAGTCAGTACATTGGGGAGTGACAACCATTCAGAGTGAAAATCCAAATATATCTGACTTATTAAAGAAAAACGCCTTGCATGTCTGTATTTATACTTTTTTTTATTTGTTTATTATTATGTTTCAAAATTAATGGAAATGTAATACTGAAAGGTAACTAAATAAATGATTTGATCTGATTATCTGATTAGGAAAACTATCGAAAAATATAGTTGGGGTCCCTGGAACCTCACTTGGTACTTCCAGTACTCCTAATTTAGAAAGCGAAGCTTCTCGGATTCAACTATGTAACGAGTTAGTCGTACAAAAAGGTGGCTATTTGCACTCTTTGCCAATTTAATTGATTTCGCTATAGTAAATGCATTCATCCTCTAGAATGAACTACACCCAGATTGAAAAAAGCCTATAATCATCTACGACGCTTATTTTTATTGGAAATCGGTAAAAAAACTGGCTGTGCCCATGATCCCTAAATGGCTTAATAATCCTGGTGTTTGTAACAGGCTTCCGAAGGAACTATGCCCGTCAATGGAGTGTTGTACACTAGTGTTCAGAATGACGCAGAGGAACAAATGGAATAAGAACAAAGGAAAGATGTATTTTCTATATTCAATGCACTCTTTGATGCGCTTATTTAAAAAATAAAAAAAAGGGGGGGGGAATAAAGGGTTTTGTAATCAAAATTTTCACCCGGTATTCTGAGGGTTAAAATCACTCTTGATCATAAAACCAAAGTTTTAGCTATTAAACATTAATTTTACACTGGTGATAACTGACTTTCGAGAAATTAAGTACATGTGTTTACAGCTCTTTAGGGGTTAGTTAGGGGCAACTTTTCCGTGGGTGCCTTATAGGATTTTTAATGCTCTTTCCATTGATGAAATCAAATGTACAGTAGGATTAATATTTTAGGTGATATAGGGGCTTTATGGAAAAAAATTCATGAATCGTTGAGCTATCCCGAAAAGGGAAATATCTCTAATAAAATTGCAAATCAAGGGGCAATAGAGACTTATTAGTCCAATTATACATCGGAATACATGCAGGATAACCCCATAAAGTATTGACTCTGTTTACAGGACACCCTGTGTAGATATGTAAGTGTGATTCATGTTTCAGTTTAACATGACATCAAGGGCTGAAATTTTCGATTACCCCAGAGACCAATTTTGATGGGCAGAATCGCCAAGCCAATGTCTAACCTAAAACGATGGAGTAGGTGATTGACTCTTGCTATGAGATACTATTCCAATTATCAGATAAAATGGTTAGGGATTTTTTTTGTCCATCCACCACCCCACAGTACCTTAAGAAGACCCAATACAGTGAACTGTGCCAATTAACTAAAATTTTGGTTCTTCAAAAGGTCAAAGTTTTTATACTTCACGATTTCCTCAGGCCCTATGGTACCATACTATCATTCCTCAAATTCATTGGCTTTTGTTCATTTAAAAAACCACCTAACCTAATCCTATTAGATTGATCCATTGAACCATGAAAATCTCTTATAGGATTTTTTTTTAAATTTGTGAGCTTAAGTTACTCACACTTCATACAAACTTCGATTGTATTAATTAGAAACTGTTTTTTTCCCAAATTTAATTTGTTAAAATAAATACATTCAAACAAGAAAAATCACATACTTGAATATTCTCTGATCTACATGCAAGCTTCAGAACTGCTGGTCGATCTCTACATCCTTACTGGTTATGCTCATTGATGGTCATGCTTTCAGATACACAGTGGATGCTATTGGAGTTAATGGAACTGGATCATGAACTTCAGTTAGTTTGCATAAGAATGAATGGCTCACAATTTAAGCAATGCAGGCTGATGACTAAGAGACACTGAGTTGTATTTGTCCCCCCAGTCTTTACAAGGTGGCAATTTTTTTAGAACTATTTTGGGCAAAGATATTTTCAAAAAGATATGCAGAGTTGGTTATTTCCATTCAGAACTTCGACAAAATGTGGTAACATGTGTTTTGTGTATCAACACAAAGCAAAGAAAATATCCTAAAATCATCGCAGCCCTTTTCAAGACATTTCAAGGTGTAGAGAGGGTTCATCAAGAAAAATGGCTAACCATCCCAGCTCGTATGAAATATGCAAAAATTGAAAAAGTTTTCGGGCAAGAGGAGCAAACACAATCTAACAAGGGGAGACTCATCAGATCATCGATTTTAATGAAACTTTTTTTTGGTGATACTGGGGTCAAAAATTATTAGATACGTGTTCAGGTATTTTTGCCAACGGATTCTAGGAACCAAGAAAAAATATATTTCATGTGACTTACATAATTTTTAAAAACTGTTTTTCTGCCTTTGTTGTGCATGTTCAAGGTTATTATATATCAGGCGATTATTTTTTTCCGTAGGATAAGAAATATGCGAGATCATATTAATTGAGATTAGATATATGAAAAATTATAAAAACCAAAAACACCTTTCAGTTAAGTATACCAAAAAAATTATTTTAAAAAAATCGGATTCATTTTAAGCACTCTTTAAAGCCTCTAAATACAGATTTTTATAGAGAACAAAAAATAATTTTTTGACCAGGAATTTTTTTTCGCCGATGTTTGGTGTTCCACTTAAAAATTCATAACTACTCTGGATTTTATCCAAATTCAAAGTTATTACAACCGTTCTCTTTTTGGATTTTAGATGCTTAGGTTTACATTTTATGCCATTATAAATGAGAAAAAAGGATGAAATCAACCAAAAAACTCCTTAACACTTTACTTGATATCAAATTCTATTTCAATTCTAATTTTTCTTACAGCGGCTAAATCTATACCCTTCCTGAAATTTATACGGTTCGAGACATCAAAGTTCCCCCCCCCCCAAAATAATCATAGGCATTTATTTTATGACAATTGTGCAAATAGCAAATAAATTAAAATATTTTTTGGCAAGAACAAGTCTGTTTGTTTTCTGCACCCCCTAGAAGTCACTTTTTTTCCAAGTCACAAAAATGTTATCACTGAAATAACTCCTTACTTATAGTTTTTTTCTTCTTTTTTTTACTTAAATGGTTGTGGACACACAAACCAGAAGAATTATAAATTTTAAGCAGAACAATGGATATCAGGGAAAGAATAAAAACCTCTAGCCAAAAAATTCAGCCCAAAAAATGTCTATTTTTTGTTTTCTATAAAAAACCTATTTTATGGTGTTTTTTTGGCCTGGTATCACTAAAAATAGTTTCATTAAAATCAGTGATCTGACAGGAGCCTCCCCTTATAAGAGTAAAAAAAAATTAAATGTAACTCCTTTTTCTGTTTGATTAATATGATTAATTTGATTAATTAATATGATTAATTTGATTAATTAATTTGATTAATTTGATTTAATAATTAATAATGAAATTGCCTTACAATCAAATTGTAAAATTATATAATGTTCACAAAAAATGTTTTAAAAACTATCCAAATGGGTGGAATAAATAATTTGATTATGAGTATATTAGACTATTGTATTATTAATACCAATTAAGGTAAAAAAAACAATAGGCCTTTTGCCACTTTTTGTTTGTTTTTTCCATTGCTAATTATTATTTAAGTTCGAGAGGACTAGTAAATAAAATACATTACATTTTAAAGGTGGAAGGCCTGAAGATCAACTCGCTATTTATATTTTATATTAAAATTAAAACCAATCTAATCATATTAAAGTAATATTACCTCTTTGAGCACATTCCTTTCTCAAGCTAAGTCGAAGTGGGGTACCAGGGAGGGGTCGCCCTTTACGACTTTCGATAAGCAATCCGATTCCAAATGATGCCACGCCAGAACTATTTCCAGAGCAAGGAAGTAAAACACTAAAAACTATTGAAATATGTTTTAACGGTTGCAACATATTTTTGGCATCATTTAATATAATTTTTTATTGTTATCAAGCTACAGTAATAAATAAAAAATAACAATCACCTTTTGGCCTTTTGGGAATCCTTCCTTTAGTTTTGATCGTTATTACTGGTGGTTCCAAAATGGCTTCGTCGAATGATTGCAGCCTGTCAAAATTATAATAATATTTTTTGGCACCACTTTTCCAAGTAAAGTTCACATAGCCTACCTGAAAATGTTAAGTATCAAAATATATATTAAATTTGAAAATTTTTACAACCAGCTACTTTTACATGTTTAAAAAACCAACACTTATTTCTAGAAAAGGGCTTTTGAAAAAGGTAAAAACAAGAATGTTTAAGGACTTCAACTTGTTACACACAAAACTGGCAATAAAATTATTTCAAAAATGCTAACAAAATTTAGTTTCATTTTAATTTTTGACCTCCATAAAAAAAAAAATGAAAAGGAAAATAGCACAACAAAATTCAATATAGTAGAAAGAATAAAATCAGATAAATGTCAAATTAATTAATAATGGAACAATAACTAAATTTGATTAAAACTAATCTCAGTGGCAATAATAAATTTTTATAAATGGAGAATCATCTGAATCTTGATCAAGTCTAATATCAATTAACTCGATAACAGTATTACCGAAAAATAAAATGTAGAATTTATCAAATGGAGATAAAATTCTTTACTCAATAAACATCATAATTCATAAGTATAAAAAGTTAAGATTGTAAAGGATGAAACCTTATAATTAAAATATTTAAAGAGAAAAAGTAATTAATAAAAAAAATTTTCTGACGAAAGACAAAGCTTATTATCACATGTGAAATAGAAAACTACCAAATAATTATTGCAATTTTAAATAAATGAATTAATTCTTTCCTGTTTCATCCAAGTTGGATATTGAAACATTTTCTTGAACTTAAACAATAACAAATAAAGCTTTGGTTAATAGTTACAGATTAAGTGTACATGTATTTTACTTAATTTTCAATGAAAATGAGAAACTCTTTTACTATTAATTAATTCTAACTTATGCTCGTTAGACCAATGAAGCTGGATGTAGAGAACAATGTTTGTTAAATGAAAACATACTATTGTATTTATTTTTTATTATAATTATTGTTTTTATAACAATAAGGCACATACTGTTAAAAAATATTAATTTAAACAAACAAAACTTGTAACAAAACATCTTTATCAACAGCAATTAGAGAGAAAAAAAGTCTTTCATAATGTCACAAGTTCATTATTTAAGACGTAATGTTTATGCATTTGTTTTTTTCTGTTGTATTTGTATGTTAAGCTATGGCATTTAACCTAATAAACTTTCATTTGGAGAAAAAAAATTCTTGATAAGATAAGTAATATGGTTTAAACAAATTGCTAAACATCAACAGCCTCGTTCCTTCAGGAAATAACTTCACACAGACCCTCAATTATGGTATTATTAAAGTGAGGCAACAAATTATTTATGATAATTTTTATGAAAATTAGATTGCATAATGGAATGCAAAAGAAGGATAAAAAAATTATTTATTCTGGGACAGAATAAAACAGGTTAAAGTGAAAATTATAAACAGTTTGACACAAAAATAAATCTTGCTGTGATGATCAACGGACTTACATACTTCCCAACCCAAGGAGTTAAAATAAAATGAGTTACTCACAACATTAACATAGAAAAAAAATTACTAAGTAAATTTAAACTGTGGTTAAATCGGATAATAAAAGATTGGGACACAGGGAGATGAACAGATACTGCAGGAGTGGAAAGAGGATTTGAATCGGATGGTATGGATAATGTAGTGATGGGTGTGACTGCGCTGGTAAATGAAGGAACCAAGGAAACATAGACTTCGGAAAGAGGGATAGAGCCAGGATATGTCTGAATAAAGCTGAGATACCCTGGATCCTCAGGAGATGCCGAATATAAAACAGAAGGTGTGCCTGAACTACTGCCTAAATACCCATTTAAAAAAAAAAAAAAATGTACAAAGAGCCCAACGCTAAGATCCCATGAGGGAATTTCAGACAAGCAGCAGGATAAAAAGGAAGCTTTGGAAAAATACCCAAACTGTGTAGCATATGTAATACTATGAAATAAGGCAGCTCTCCAAGCCTACAAGATCAACACAAAACTTGTCTGGAACTGCCTAAATACTCTAAAAAAAAATTTGGATATACAAGTAGCCTAACACTACAGTCCCAGGTCATGGAGAAATTTCATTTGAACAGCAGATATACTAGATAAAAGGGTGCTTTGGAACAACACCCAAATTTTGAGGCACAAATCATAGCCACATTGAAAAAAGGACTTAAATCCTGGGTACAACAAAAACTGGGGAAACCAGGCATGAATTCAAAGGAATTAAAAATCCTGACAGGGATATTTATGCGGCATGCACCACTTGAAAAATGTGACTGTCAACAAATGACCAATGTGGACTAGGTCTAGAATACAGATAACAGAACATATGACCTGCAATAGCTTGAAAAAGGCTTATGCTAATTAGGAAAGATTGAACCGTTATGTGTTGGTAATACTATTGATCTTGTGGCTACTAACTAGGCATTTCTAACCTTCAGATCACTGAAGATGACGTAAAGACAAACCATGTGATTCCCTACATTGTGACAAAGAAAATGGAAAAAGTTAAGTCATTCTTTATTTATTTCTCCTGTAGACAGCTCTCTGAGGAAAGTACTCATGTTTTCATGTTAATTGTTTTATTCTTATAGCATTTTTACTGTTGTAATTGTTTTACAGTTGTAAATATCTGTAAAAAAACAATCTCTCAGTTGGGTAGTGGAGTACTCGATATTCTTCTATCACCCTCCACACACATTACATAACTAATCTAATTGAGGGTTAATGGGGATCTCAATATTTCACCTTTTTTTTAACCCTAACCTCACAGTTATAATAGTCCAAACAGGATATAATAATCCAAAATCATAGTGTTTAGGAGAAGGGGTAGGTTGAGTTCTTTGGATCGCTTTTGTTTTTCAGGGGCAATCTCATCGAGATTGTAAATGAATACAAATATTTAGGAGTCATATTTACCCCAAGACTCTCTTGGACAAAGCACTCTCTTGAAAAGTGTCAATGGCTAAATTAGCTCAGCCTTCATACTTCAAGAAACTATCCCAATTAAAATCAAGTTTAATATTTTTAATGTGATATGTCTTGCAATTCTGCGTTATGGCTGTCAAATGTGGGGATACAAGAGATTCAAAATGATAGAAAAAGTACAACGTTTTATTCTAAGAAAGTTATTCATGTTGCCATCTGGTACTCCAAACTATATACTGTATTTGGAGACCAACATGAATTTGGTTTTGATGTATACACTTCACTACTCTTACATTGTGAAAGTTCTGATGTCACCTGATAACAGATACTCAAAAATTACAACTTTGGCGGTAATGAACTCTAATATTTCATGGTTTGTACACTGGAAATATTTGTTTGAAAAGTACAACTAGCCCTTCCTCCTATCCTTAGACAACCTCTGTGACTGGCACAATTATTTTATCAGTTCTCATTAGTCAAATTAAAAAAAAAAATCATGAAAAATGTGTCCAAGCATATACACATCTCTCCCTTTGCAAAGAAGTACAATTTATCCTGCAATGTTCGACCCACAGAAAGACAATTTTGACAGTCTTTGTCTCAATAAATTGTGATGGCTATTTAAGCTAAGGAGTGCATTTAAACTTGGCTGTTTTTGAAACGAGAATTTGGAATCGGTTCTTTGTGCAATTTGCATTGTATTGAAACTGTATTCCATTTCTTAGTGAAGTGCTCATCTCTGGGTGAGATTCGGTTATTGCATCTCTGATGTTTCACTCTCCCCAGAGTTGACCTGTTACGGTTTTTGAGTGGCTCAAATTCGCAGTCCTTAATTCGTTACACTAGGCATGCATGGAATTACAGATATGAGTTAAGTAAGGAGTATAAATTTTGATTTGTATTGTATAACCTGTTTTTCTTTTTTTTTCTTTCCCATTTTACCAATTGTTATTTCTCTTTTCTTTCAATTTATTTCCAAGCCTATTAGTATCCTACTTTATTCTGTTTTTTCCCCGCTTTCTGATTATTTAACCAACGACCTATGGCAGACGGATCCATGTCCATAAATGCTTTGAAAGTACATCTGTCATTTTTCTTAAGTTCAATAAAGCATTATTACTATTTCACCGTCGACTCTCTCACACATTCACACTAATAAATACATTCACTCTCAACAGGTGCTAGTGACACACCAACCCTGTTTCCTCAAAGAATCGGAACAGGGTATCCAGAGCTCAAGCGAGATTCTCATATTGGGTGGCATAGGAATTGTGTAGGACACACTCTCTATACAGAGCCAAAGAGCCCTACCCTTCAATTAAGTAGCTTACATTGAGCAATCTTTCCCTGCATGCTACCCGCGCTTTGGCCTAAAATAAGTGTCATGTGTCAACCTGAATGGCCTTAAATGGGCGAGGATGACACTCCTTCAATGAATCAGGACTTCCGAGGGCCACCTATCAACACGAGTGTTCCTCTGCCGATCCGGCTCACCGACTAATCCGGTGTGATTTGAACCTAACCTTATGAGTTATTTGTGGCAAAAACTGGAATCTGGTTGGTGACCAGAGTGTTTTGCATCTTCGAAATATAAATTTCCACTTCTGTATTGTCAATAACAATTAATTAAGGTTTTTTAGTTGAGATAAAAAAGTCAATGGCACGAGCGGGATTTGAATCCACGATCTTCGGCTAGATGCTCTACCACTTGAGCTATCGTGACCTCGATCCACTCGGACACTAACTTCCCATCTCATAGCTCAAGTGGTAGAGCAGCGGCGTATCTAGCCAAAGATCGTGGGTTCAAATCCCGCTCGTGCCATTGACTTTTTTATCTCAACTAAAAAACCTTAATTAATTGTAATATATTAATTGGTCAAGCGGACCACGAATTTAGTGAATTTAATTGCCAATAACAAAAAAACACTGAAAACCAAAAAAACGTAAAAAAATTTATTAAAAAATTACAGGCCTATCTGTGAGATCTGGTAGTTACGTTTTACTAACAGATTTTATAAATAATTATGACACATTGCACGAAAAAAAAGTCAGAAACCATCCAAACATTCATTTGATTTATTTTAATTTTATATCTGATCTATAGTCCTTTTTTGCTAAATTTAAAAATAAATCAGCACTTTGTTTGTTTTTCATACTTTTTTTTGTTGTATTTGTCTTTAGTGTATTTTACTAGGGCAGTGTACTCACCTCAGATGGAATAACCGGTAAATATTCTTCGAAGTTGGGGTCTAAAATGTAAGGGAGTACACGGCCGTCTACGATAGCATAAATCTCCATTGAAAAACCTTTAAAAAAAAATCCGATAAAAATACCTGCGAAACTGTCCCAAGAGGGTAAAAAAAAAAAAATAAGAAAACCAATTTACCGCTGAACATTTTGACTTGGTGTTGGTCGATCCATAGAGATAGATCGCCGTCGTTTCTAGGATGGGACAAAACGTGCATGAAGAAGAACAAAAAAATGAGAAGAGGCAACATTTTAAAGAGATAGGAGCATGAAAGAGAGAGCGTTTGTCGGTCGACAGTGTCGGACAGTCCACAACGAAGACTAACGGTTGGACGATGAAGATTGAAGATTGAAGGTGAAGATGAGGACGGATAACCGCTTTTAACCTTCTGCGGCGAACGAGAACCGTTAAGGGATCTTTTTCAACTGGAATCGATTACAGTAATCGATACGGTTTTGGCAGGAAATCTCGAACAAGTTTGAAACAGGATACAGGCAAGACCTGAGCAATACATGTGCGGAACATGTCCCCAAACAACACCACTTAGAATTGTTTCAGCAGTAAAAACCGAATTCCAAAAAAAGCACGCTACTTAGGATTGTTTCAACAGTAAAACCGAACTAGAGAATAACAGGTTCTCAAAATACACACCACTTAGAATTGTTTCAGCAGTAAAAACCGAATTCCAAAAAAAGCACGCTACTTAGGATTGTTTCAACAGCAAAAATCAAACTAGTACGGAATAGGGCCCCCTTCCAAAAATCAAAAAACACGCCACTTAGGATTGTTTCAACAGTAAAAACCGAACTAGTGTGGAACAGGATATACTGCGCATGCACTGAGCACATGTGCGGAACAGGAATGCATAATCGTTATAAAAATCGAACTATATTTTGTACAATAAAAAAATGAACGAGTCTTCCTCCTTGGGGTAAAAAGTTTAAAACTTGAAAGAAAAAAGCAGCGCGTCGTGCCTGCTGCTCCTACCGGGATAACTGTCGGAACTCTTCTGAACGAACGAACGAACGAATCGACTGACATGTGAAACAGCGACGAAGGTTTCCTAATTTTGATATGTGATGGACGATCGTTATGGTTGAATTTGTCTTAAGCGATGCCTTCTTAACCGATTTTTAAAAAGAAATTCTGTTGTTTTACTTTAATCCTACGCACTTCAGACAAAACTATGGATAACAACTATTTCCTTAAATTTATGTTCCTTCTTTCTATAGTTAACGTGAGTAAACCTGCTTTTACTTTAGTCGATGAACAATTTTATTCAGGCCTACTACTGCTCGTTTTGACCTAATAGTTTTAATTAATATATTTTTTATAGTTTGGCCACTTTGTTGCTTGAACTCACTGGCACACATCACTTCTATTAATAAATACGGTTGCACGATGTCTCTTTAACAGTAACAGTTCGGATTTTTAAATGTCGAACCGGCATTGGGTCCTTCTAGGCTCGCGGGTTTTGATATTACTCATTCGCGTTCCTTCATTGCGCCATCTTCAGTGAGGAACTGTTTCGAGTTTGAGAAACATTAAAAACCAACGAGTGTGGTCGAACCCAGTGCCGGTTCAACACGGAGGACTGATGGATATGTGAAGATCTTGGTTTCGAGTATATTTGTTGTAGATGTACTCTGATTAATCAGAGTATATTTTGTACTGCGCCTTTTAAGATCTATTCTATACCCCGTTCTTGTAACTCACCAGTGAGTTCTAGTCCATCAAGGAATTTGATTTCAGTGGTTGGATTTCTTCTACGGTCGCATTGTACGCCCCAAAACACTTCCTCCTGCGGGCAAGTGTAGCAGTGTAGTTACAGTGTCCTGTTAAGAATCCTGTTGGGATTCGCAGCTTTTTCCTGCTTCCCTTGATATATTCTGTTCCCTCTTTCCTTAAAAAATTTGTTAGGAGGTTCTTGGATTGTATGTACAATAAATTCAATTGTTCCTTCATTTTCTTTTTAAACTTCTCTCTGAGGTACTCATTGATAGTGTGGGCTCCTATGCCATAGAAGGGTTCAGGGCCTATCAGCAGTACAGACTTTTCTTGCAAGGGTGCTCGCTTTCTCTTGCCTTAGTATGTATTTGTTACTGACATTTAGATTCTCAAAATGGTTTAACAGGATTTTTTTAAAGAAAAAACTTAGTTCATTCAGTCAAATTTACTGCATTTCAAAGGTTTTAAAGATTTCTTTCATCATCAGGTCCCTTCATTATTAATGTAATACTTGTACACAAGGTTCTTGATAATTCTAATACTGCCAATAATTTGTTCAAACACTGTTAGTTATTCTTCTCTCCTAAACTGTCTCCAACGTAGCTTGTGTCTTGACTTCATCGCACAATCCATTGACTGATGAAAAACCACCAGTCTTGCCCTTATTAATTTTTCTAAAGCTTTTGAAACCGTAGATTATTCCCTTCTCCTTGCTAAGCTTAACAAACTTTACCATCCTTCTACAGTGTTCTCCAATGGTTCCACTCGTTCCTTTTGTACTGTTTTCAAGTAGTCTCAGACCCAAATAAGACCCATATCACTTCTGGAGTCCCTCAAGGCTAAAGCGAACTCCGCTTAACTTTTTTTTAAAGTTAAATTGACTTCCGTAAATCTATATTCTTCTCTCCTCCTGACATTGCAATTGTACGAAAACGCGATTCGTTCTTGGACCCTTGAAAATTGGCCAACTTGAATGTGGAAAAGTCCCAGGCTGTTGGGTAATCGTACTATTTCCATCTTTCCCAATCTCAAAAACCTTGAGATGGTCCTTGATCAATTGATCAGACCTTGCCCTGGAATCCCCCATCACCTTTATTTATGTGGATGATGACCAAATTTTTGCATTATACCTCCTGACTTACAAATTGCAATTTAAAGAATTCAAGACACTGTTATGGGCTTAACTTGAACATGAAAAAGTCTCATGCTGTTGTATTTGACATCACCTTTATGAAGGTCCCCCTTAAGAATTGTGGCTTGTACTCAGTTAGCTATGAGGCCACATCACCTTTATGCAGATGACTCCAAAATTTACCTTCCCTTCCCATCTCCTGACTTACAAGTTGCAATTGTGAGAATTCAGGACTTAAACTCAATTTACTCTTGGACCTCTGGACTTGTCGATCAGATTTTGTCCTGGAAGTCCAATATTCTCAGAAAGTCCCAAGATGTTGTGTTTTGACTCAGTTCCTTCATTCCTTTCCTCCTGTTCATCCGTTTACAATTACCAGTCACACTATTTCCATCATTCCCGCTGTCAAGAACCTTGGGATTGTCCTTGATCAGTTGATCAGACCTTAACCTGGAAGTTTACACCACTTGCGTGCAGATGTCTCCCAAATTTACCTGAATAATAAAACTGAATAATAAACCTGAATTACAAGTTGCAGTTGTAAGAATTCAGGATTTAAACTCAATTACCTTCTGGGCTTAACTTGAACAAAAAGACCCAAGCTGTTGGGTTTGGATCTAGTTCCTTCCTACATTTACTCTATTTCTTTTTGCCTCATGTCAAGAACCATGGGATTGTCTTTGATCAGCAATAGTCCTGGAAGCTCCATATCTTCCAAATTTCCCGACACACCTTTTCCTCCATCAGTTCCATCTTGCCAGCCACCTTCACACCTTTAGTATGCATAAACTCCTCTGTTATCCCTCACTTTGATTATGGATGTGTTATGAGGTACTCACTGTAGAGCTTGGTGGTAAGCTGCAATGTCTAATGAATTCTTTTGTATATTTTATCTTCAGCTCATGGAAGTCTCACGTGACTGATCTGTACACCGACTCGAATTATACCCTTCCTCTTTCTTCCCATTTTCTTCCTTACATATGACTTCTAAACTTTCTGTACACTCTCGTCAAACTCGTTGCCCTCCAGACCTTATCCTTCTTAACATCTTCCTTTCTCATCTGTGTCTCCAACATATGAAATTCCATTCCTCACTTCAACAAGCGTCTAACTTCCACCTTTAAGTCCTGTCTCTTTAAATATATCCTATTATATATAATACTCTACCGATATTTTATTATTTATTGCTAATTTTCTGTGCTAATACATAATTGTTTTAAATGATTATGCTCATGATTTATTTATATTTCAGGGTGAAATGTATGACACCTCCTTCTCTTTAGAACTTTTCCATGGCTTAGACCAAAGTAACGATGGAGCAATTTGGCAGTCTTGTAGTGTTATCAATTTACTTGAGATGGTAAATAATGTAGCAGTTCCAAATTTAAAACTCAATGAAACCGAAACTGCACAAGTCAAAGTGAGATTTTAATAGCTTTGTTTATTTATCTAACATATAACATATAAAATACGTTAAAACTTTTATTTGTTTTATAGGAGTTAGCGTCTGAAAATGGTTTGTTCGTGTTGAAAATAGCAGTGAAAAGCATGGAAAAAAATCACCTATCTTTATTGTCTTTTACCAAAGCAGTAAGTTTATTTTAAAGATATAGATTTATTTTGAGTGCAATCTTACAACTCTGCAAATAGAACATTACCTTCATAGGTATATTTTTGTACAAATAAATAAAAAAAAGTCTTTCAATATTTATTAGGCTTTCTTCAACTGATTATATCAATTTTATTGCTTTACTAATTTTTAATTATAACTTTACAGTGTGCTTTGCTTGAAGAAGATCCAAAGTTATCTCTCACTGTTAACTTTGATCAAGCAGGATCTGTTATTGGGGTCAATGTAGCACCGAAAAATTATTGCCGGAACAAACCTGAATCAGAACCAGTTGATTTAACAGTCAATTTGCTATTATCTTATAAGTTCACTGAAGTAGGCCCTTTGTAAGTATAGAATAGTTAATCAAACATGTTCGAACCATTTAGAATATTGTCATTGGTCAAATTATTATTTCTTGTTCCTTTAAACCATAATAGAGTGAGTAAAAATAGAAGAAAATTAGTATGTTTGTGTACTTAATTTCAGACCTGACACAACAACGTATATACAGAAATTGGAAAAAGAAAGAGAAGCGAAAGAAAAAGGACAGGGGCAGGACCATCGTTCATTTCTTGCTAAATACGTAAGTTGAGATTCATTTTTCAAATTTAATTTTACTTATTTTCTTATTTAATTTGATTTAAAATGGTATTTAATAACATTAAAGTCCCAGGTTTGAATCCAGCGGCCCTGTTGTTGTTGTGAACCCATGTAAAAAAAAAAAAACAGAGGAAGCATCAGAAAAACAATCATTATGTTTAGTGGTTTAATTGTCCATATTAATTATTTCAACTAATTATTCTTTTTATAAGATGAAAATGACGTCTAGATGAAAAATGACAAAAAAAAAAGTAAAATGCAAAAGGTTGTAGGTTGAGATGGGGCGTTGGTGTCCGAGTGGATCGAAGTCACGATAGCTCAAGTGGTTAAAACAGCGGCTCATTAGCCGAAGGTCGTGGGTTTGAATCCCACTTGTGGCACTAACTTTTTCATCTCAACCAAGACCTTACATAAAAAGAATAATTAATTGATCTAATTTTTTTATTTTAAATAATAATAATAATTATTATTATTAGATATTCCTGGCCTTGGTGAAATTTCTGTTATCCAGTTGTTCACTGAGGAAATCAATTTAGCAAATCATTATTTATTTAGAAATCGTGAGATGCAATCTGGTGTGATGTAGGTTTCAGAAAAACATTTTCTTTATCGTGCCAACGTTTCGATCTTTATTGAGATCATCTTCAGGGCCTGGGATTTACAAACATTGTTTACATATTACAATTACATTTTGGATGTGGAAAAGTGAATTTGTACAATGCAAAATATATTTTTTATATATTCAATCAAAGTATTTCTACTCACTTTGAACACAATGAACAAACACTTTGAGTGAGTAGAAATACTTTGATTGAATATATAAAAAATATATTTTGCTTGTATAAATTCACTTTTCCAAATGTAATTGTAATATGTACACAATGTTTGTAAATCCCACGTCCTGAAGATGATCTCAATAAAGATTGAAACGTTGGCACGATAAAGAAAATGTTTTTCTGAAACCTTCATCACACCAGACCGCGTCTCATGATTTCTAAATAAATATCGATTAACGGTCACTAATCACCACACATTTCTAGCAAATCATTTCCTTTGCTAAACATGCTGCTACATTAAAACCTAAAACTTTAATTAAATGTTCGTTTAATTTTTGTTTTTCAGTGGATGTACATAGTTCCAGTTCTGTTGTTTGTTGTTCTATCTGGAGCGGCAAATGGAGATGGCGGAGGAAGTGGGAGCTAGCCAACTGTTAGATTTTTCCGCTAATAAATCAGTTCTGGGCTAATAAACAGTTTCTTTTTTATTCAGGCTTTCTAAAGCAAATGTCTGTGTTGGTGTTCGAATGCGCAAAGATGATCTGAATGAAATATTCGGTCGATGCGGACATGAAATGTGAGCCACAAAATTTTCATTTTGCTCATAATCATATGACTTTCCCAATAAAACGATCAATTGTCATGCACTCTTAAGAAATAATAATATAAAATTTTCTTGGAAAAAAAAATTAAATTCAACATTCCTTCGTGTTTGTTTATTTTATCTATATTTCCTTATTGGATGCTTATACATTCTCACATAGAGTGTGTATGAAATATAAATTTTTAACAAGGTCTGTAAAAACCAGCTAGGCGTATTGGTTTTGTAGGTTTTATGCCATAAATTTTTATGTGTTTCATAATCGACATTATTGTACAAAACTTACTTTACGACTGCATAAATTAGCAGTTATATTTAAGTCACTTATAGAATAGAATACAAGACAATGCTATTACTTTGTTGTTAGTTAATTATTGTTGCATTTTTTGTTTTTAACTATACGTGTAGTTGTAACAGTTTTTGTTGTGAGTAAAACATTATTTGGTCTGATTTCTCTTGTATCCTTTCACACGTTACATTCCCTTGTGAATATTGTGAATGGACTACAATGTATAATCGCCTCCAAACAAGTGCAAGCGTGAAGAAAACTAAACCTAAAATAACCTTTTCGCTACAAGTCTTTTAGATAGTTTAGCTTTATTTCTTCAGACCATAAACATGATGTATAATGTTAAAGTAATGCCAGGAAAAGTGCTGAGGTCATTGCTGCTTCTTATCTTTCACGTAATGCTAAAGTAATATAATTGTTTAAATTTAGTTCTTATTACAACTGAACAATTGTAATAATCGTATTCTGGTTGATTTGAATTATTTAGGTGTTAGAAAGCACAATCAGCAAAGTTAACTGAAGGAATTAAAAGGTGCTCAAATATACATATTCTCAGACAGCGAAGCAGCATGAAGTTCAACTTAAAGCCCGGTATGCTTATATCTCCAGCTCCTGGGAAAACCAAATCGGGTAATGCTCATGTCACAAACTAGAAAAAGCAGGAGCAGCTCTCACACACTGTGGACCACAATGGCAAATTGTTAGAGAAAGAAAATACCCCAAAACAATCAAATGTCAACATTTCAAACAGAAGAACATATCCTATGTGACTACAGCATTAGCCAGGAAATGGTAGTCTTTAGAAAAGTGATATTAACATGTAAGGATACAAAGAGAAGAATCCAAGCAAGTTCTCAACTACATTAAGGGTAATGCACTTTCCAGGGATTGTAAATAAACAAAGTTCAATTCCACAATAGATCTTTTAGGTTAGGTCCAAGGGGGACCAAAAAAGTAAGGATTCCAAAATTTTCTCTGTGATCTATATAGGTCTTTTGTGGAACAGCTATGGTTATGTACTGTGGAAAGTGTGCTTTTTAAACAACTAAGCACTTTGTTCAGTGCTTCTCCATGCATTTCTTTTTGGTACAAGAAATACCTTACCAAAGTGGCTGTACCATAACTGGGCTAGTGCTTCACATACAAAAACGGTATGCGTAGATGTCTTTGGTTTCTTATGAGTTAAGACAATCGGCATGTTTGTCTCTGCTTTGCCTATCTTTATGTAGTAGTTAAGAGGGCAATGGTCCATAATTTTAATCAAATTTTGGCTGAGAGAGGAGTTCCTTTGCCTTCATATCTGAGATTTTTTGTGTTTTAGTTTGTCGTATACCTGGAGCCTTTGTACAGTGTTTGAGTTGTTCTTACTCCTGTGTACTACTTGTTCTGGTCTCGTGCGTGAGAGGGCTGCCCTATTGGCTAATTGGTCAACCATACCTTCTTGTCCCAGAATCCACCTCAAAGTAAATTTGTTGTGTTTTCTTAGGGACATTCGGCAACTAAGACTCTACCAGACTAGTTTAGCGCTAAAAGCCCAAGAGCATTTATGCCTCTGTCTGAAAGTGGGTAATAATAATAAGTATGTGCCTAGAGTTGATGCTGGGTGTTGTTCTGCGAGTTGGTGAACTCATGGCATTGGGTAACTTATGGGGTCATGCAAGTGAAAACCCAATGCTGGTTCAGCTTGAGTTCCCAGACTTGCAGACCATCACCTAGCATCAACTCAAATACAGCTAGTCCGGCTATGTTACTTCAAAGATATGTACATAAACCCACAAGTGAAGACCAGTTCAAGGGGTTTCGCTAGGTTGTACTTAGAACCTTTTAACCCTTCACTTAGTTCTTGATCCTGATGTTTGATCCATCAGAGTACCATTCTTGAAACTTGGGGTTGCCTTTTGTCCCAAGACCTTTATGGCAATTGGAAGGGTCAAATGCCCTTATGCTCAAGTGTAAAAATTGAATGTTTTTGTCTGTGCCATGTCTATCATGTTACATGCTCAACAAGCTACATATTGATGTACGTGTACGATACTAACACTTTAAACAGTATCTATAGTCGTAGCCTAAAATTTCTTTCTAAGACATAAGCAAAAAGAAGAGTTGATTGTTTTAGAATAGAAGGAAGGTCGAATAAGAGTGGACAGATGAAACCCTTGAGGAACACCTGGGAAAACTTATTACTGCTTAAAAAAATCTATCTTTTAGTTAAATAACTAGAAATTACGGGCAAAAATTGTCCAGTTGCGTTAAGTCGGTTCAAAAGTAATTTTTTTTTTAACTTCAGTTTATGAAAATAGTTGTTTTGTTGTGCAATCGAGGAAGAAAATGAGAGAAAATCGAATGTCTGAATTGATCAAATGAAAATATTGGGTTGTCCGGAAAATAATGCAGGATTTTGGTATTAAACAAAAAAAAAGAAACTAGTTACTTTAAAGCAATGTTCTTTAATCAAAATAATTTNCATACAAATGAGTAATCCTGTAAACGTAAACAGAATATTTTATATAGATTTTTTTTAATGAAAACTTAAAATCCTGCATTATTTTCCGGACAACCCAATAGATTGACGTAGTGTGGGGGGGGGGGTCCGTGACGTCTCGCCATGTCGCCGACGTCGTTCGATAAAAGGAGGCAGAACCGAGGCGGGACTGTTTCCAAGTTCACGGTGGAACTTCACGGTTTTCGTCCTTGACGAAATTCGGCTCTCGGTGATTCAATGAAAATATGCGTCCGTTTCAAATTGCAAAGTTTTCCTGAAAAAACCCAAAATATTCCGGTCGAGATAAAAACTTCAGTTAACGCTATGTCGAGAGTAAAAGAAGAGGAATTACTCTGAGATTGGCGCGGCCCGATGGTACCCGGGTTCGCGAAATAACACGGTACGGGATGATGTCCAACTGCTTATTTTGACATGGCATGGGTAGCGAAGCTGGCTTGCCTTCTAACCACCGCTTAATTAAACCAAATCATTAAAAAATAATAATAATAATAAAATATACAAAAATCTATCAGCCTTGATCTAGCCTGTTTTAACATTTGGCCTACAATGATTTTAATTCGCTATCCATTTTCAAACATGTAAGGACATGAACGTCAGATGTACCTGTGTAAAGTTTTACAGAAATTTCAATTCCCATAGCAAAACGTTCAAAATACAAATAAAGGTATGATAGAAGGTTTTCTTAATACAGTATAATGCTTAATTTTACTTGATATTTATTAAACTGATTTCTCTATTTAGTTTTAACTAATGTGTTTCACCTACGTTTAATGTATAGGCAGATCAGGATGATTGACTCAGACAACACATCGCTCTGCATTTAAAGCATTTTATTAACTATAAAAAGTTTGTTAATGCCACTTTTGCACAAAAAATTAACTGTAATTTGCATAACATATAAACTACATAATATCTAATAGATTGCACTGGTAGGCACTGCATTTGTGAACACATTTAGCGTATGGAAGTAAGGTAAGGTTCAGAAAATACAAAAACTGATTTATACACTGAAAGAAAAAAAATGACACTTGTATTTGTTTATTTTCATAATAATTAGGTATAAAGATTAATAGTTAACTCAAAACTTAATCTACATTGGTTTTAAGTTGAGAAGGTCTTACCTGGACAGATGCTTTGGCCAATGACGGACATGTCTGTCACTTAGCTCAAGTTCTGGGTGTACCACAGTACCATCCATGTAGATCTACAACGGTTTAGGGCTACCGAACGTCTCAATCAAAGAGGAGGTAGTGGTTGACTGATGCACGATGGCTAGATGGTCATTCTATTGCTCTTATCACACAACTGTCCTTTAACAGCTTCCTTGATAGGTAGTCGATTCCAAACGGTTTGTAAAGGAAGGTTGAGCTCTAAAACAGTCATCAGAAGGTGTGAGAATAGCTTTTTACTACTGGCGAGGCATGGAGTAGAAAGGCAGCTTTGTAAATCAGATTTGTATACTTGAACAATGAGGGGCTGTTTTCTTTATAGATGAGGCCGGTTTGGTTTGTGGCAATCAGTTGATCGGGATCATGTGTGGAGGAGACATGGAGAAAGCTTTGTTTCATTTCCCTTTTATAAGTCACATCCTTTTGAAAGACAGTTGTGGTATTGGGTTGAGTCAACATCTATGCTCGTTCCGAACTGATTGTCGTACTGAATGGATCTGGAAGGTACATGGAGTAAGTTCTTCTGGAAGCTGTGGGCCCATTCGCTTTATTTATTGTGGATAACTTCGTGGTAATGCACGAGTTGTCACCTGTTACTTTAAGGATGTATGGATTACCATATTGAATCGGCCAGCATGTTCTCTTGACATGAATCCTATAGAACATTAAGGGACTTCATTTGTTGCTGCCGACAAGCGTTGAGCAGCTTCAAACTGCTCTCGTTGAACAGTAGTATTCTGTTTCACATGACGAAATCCAATCGCTTATTTTCTCAATGCGTATGAGACTTAAGGCCCTCTGCGAGTCAGTGGAGGTAATATGCGTTATTAAGAGCAAAACTAGAAAATAAATTATTGATCAAATTTTTATCTATCACCGAATGATTTTCTGGTGGTTTGGTGAATTTATTTTCAAACCATCAGAAGTAAATAATTTTTTTTTAAACTCATGATTAGCTGATCTTGTTCAATTTGGTTTACATTAAAATAAGTATGCTGTAATTAATATTACTATAAAAATACATATAGTTTGGAATAAACAACAAAATATGAGTGTCCTTTTTTTTTGTTTTTGAGTGTATAAGCTCAAAACTCTACAGGCGGATGTACATACAAATGTGTACAAAGCTGAGCCTATCGCATCTCCCAGTTGGCCAACAATTCAAGCTTTTGTAATTTACTATAAATTACCAGTAGGCCTCAAGAATCAGCCATGACACCATCAATAGGTCATTTCCCTTTTCAACACAATCAGTCTCTTAATTTCAAATCAACTGACTCTTAAATATATTAGTTTTTTCTTTCTTCTTCCAGCTATGTAGATCTATTGTGGAACCCCTATATGTCAATACGATACCTTGGAAAGTGCATTTTTTCACGTAACCTTAAGCACCTTCCTTGGTACTTTGCGTACCACTTTTGGTCTGAGAATTGCCTTACCAAAATGTCTACAGTAACCGGGCTAATTCTTCACATTCACAAAGGATATATGCTGATGATTCTGATTCGTCCAGCTATGTAGATCTATTGTGGAACCCCTATATGTCAATACGATACCTTGGGAAGTGCACTTTTTCAAGTAACCTTAAGCACCTTCCTTGGTACTTTGCGTACCACTTTTGGTCTGAAAATTGCCTTACCAAAGTGTCTGTACAGTAACCGGGCTAATTCTTCACATTCACAAAGGATATATGCTGATGATTCTGATTCCTCCTGACAGTCGCCAAGTTTCTGTCTCAGCTTCGCCCATTTTCTTTAGGTTGTAGTTAAGAATGTAGTGGCATATAAGGCCTAATTTTTATAGTGGATCATCCGTCCCGCCTGGCTCTCCTAATTTCGGTAACTCAGCAGAAACTTTTTCTTCCCATTTGGTTTCCCAAGAGGGGGTCTGTTTCTTACTATGTTGCTACCTGATGGTACTGGTCCCTTTGTGTGGTGGTAGGTTTCCCACATAGTGTCTATTGCTTTCCTTTGGTAGGTAGAGGTAGTCTCTCCTTTTCTTCTGTGAACTGAACATCCTGTAAATTTTTGAAGCAATGATATCCTGCTTCAAGTTTGTTTTCTTCTCTACTCATATGATTCCCACGAGCAGCTAGGGAACTAATTTGTCCATTCCATCAGAGCCCCGCATGATGGGGCAAGGCTAATTACTCTATGATGATGTCGCCCGGTGTCAGAGAGGCTCTGTTCAAGACAGCATGCCAATGCGTCACTCGGCTTGATACGCACAACACCTTTGATTGGCGCGGATGCTGCTTTCTGTCTAGCTCAAGATTTTGTTTCTTCTTCCTGGCAATATCTGCACAGGCTTGTATCTGTCTTAGTCTATACATATACCTCCGGAGTCTGCAGTTTTACTGTCATTCTAGGCCTAGGTTTAATAGTTCAGTTGTTGGATTCTGCAATGGCCCTTTGATGAACTTTTATTGCATGGCTCTTTTCTGGGATAAACCATTGGAACAAGGGCGTAGTTTTAACCCATAGTCTGATGGATTTACATTTTTAGCAATTTGTGTACCGCAAGAGTTTAATGCCCTGATTGAACTTTCCGTAGAAAATTTATCAGCCTACTCATTGTTTCCTGTATGTCCTTGGTAATTTTTTATCTCAATGAACAGGGCCTTGATGCAATCCCAAACAACTGAGGACTCTACTAGAGAGCTAGTTGACTTTTGAGCTACTTGACTTAGGTGATTTTATTTTGCCTAATTGAATAACTCGCCTTTTTTCTTTTTTTTCCTACACCCATCAAGTTTTTGGAAGTATTCCTTTATTTTCTACTGAATTGACTATTCATCAGAATTACTGATAGATATAGGGACTTATTTAATAACAAGTAAGAACAATCAGAGTCAAATTTTTCAACATTTCATCGTAACATTAATTTACAATTTAACGCTTTATTAGTACATTTTTTGTGTGATTTCTTTGTGTGCTCTGCAGGGTAATAAAACTGTAATTTGGTCCTTACCGAGTCGTCCTGACTATGTTTACACATTTCGGCATTTTGCCATCTTCAGTGTTGTCTATTTGTTAAAGTTTACAGGACACAAATTACAAGTGAACACTGGTGGCGAAGATCCAAAATGACAGACCAACGAGAATAGGCCGACCAGGATGATCAGTAATGACCAAATTACAAATACATTTTTTGCTAATATCATAACATTGGCTACAGAAAATGATTGATTGTATTTATTGCTAGCTTTTCATCTAATATGTTTAACAAGGTTTAAAATAAGATTTAAAAATTATGGCATAAAAAGTTACCATCCCTTTTGTGTTCGCTTTAACAAATATGACTAATTTTTATTATTTATAGAATGTAGTGATTTATGCTGCAATATTTAGTTTTGTCTCTCAAACAAAAACATCCACGATCAATTAAAAATAAAAAAACAATGCCTTTTCGAATATATTTTCTGTCGATAAAATAACACTAAATAAATAGAAACAAGCACTGATTTTGTTATAGGTTTGCAACTAACTAAAGATCAACGATTATTATTTTAACATATTTTAGAGAACACAGAGAAAATCACTCAGCAAAATGGGGCAGTCACTGTCAGAGCCAGTTACGACAAAATGCAGTTTGATCTGCAAGAATGAACAAGTGAAGGTCGGCTTAAGTTCAATGCAAGGATGGCGGGTCTCGATGGAAGATTCTCATACACTTTTGCTCGAGGTCCCTCAAGACCCTTCAGCATCGTTCTACGCTATTTTTGATGGTCATGGTGGTGAGTCTTTAAACTTAAGTTCATGTTAGGTTTCAAATAAAAGAAAACAATGGCTATTTGTTGTATGAATACATTTTATTTAGTATTTTGCTGTTGATTTCAATAAGAGATAATGTACTAACTAATTAAAATAGAAAAAACTAAACATTCATTATAATTAATATATACATATTACAAATAACATTGCACTTGGAGGATGCATGTTAGAGAAACCAGCCAACTCTGGCACTCAATATGGCGAGGTTTATTTATTTATTTTTTTTTTTAATCTAAGTGGCGAGGTTTCGAGGCAGTGGGCTCTCGGGATGGGAAAGTGTAGATAGGGCTTGGGCATTATAGGGTTAAGATAGATCGAGATCTTTTGTGGAACTTTTGAAAGTGAGATCGGATCAGTTTGTTGACAGAAGGATGCTCAACAAGGATAGTGGGGTTACTGATGTATTAAGGAACTTTTACAATTCACATGAGGACGTTTGACCAGAAGGATTAGATGTGTTGGATATTGGATAGCTTGGCAGAATCCCTCAGTTACATGTGTCGTAAATGGTTGCAGTAATATAATATCTTCTGATAATCAAAACAGATTTCTGTCCTAAAATTCTTCATAGTTGTTTTCTCTTGAGTCTCGTTTAGGGATTTCACATCATTCGGCTGCCTAGTTATAGTCCTAAGTACCTTACATGAGAGGAAGCCGATAGCTCTTTGTCTTGGAGAGCAATACTTTTTTCTAATGTAAATGTTGAGTACATTTTTCCCCATTCAATATTGTCCCCTACTTTTTGCACCAGTTTTTGATAAGCTCAAGGTGCTCTCTTGGATGTTAAAGTTTCCTTGGATAGGATTGTGGTTGGAAGACAGAATTGCGGTATCATTACCATAGGTTGTGATGCAGCGATTGCCAGAAGTACAAATAGTATAAAGGGTTGGACCAAGAATGCTCCCTTGTGAGACACTGGCCTATGTCAGTCTGATACATCAGTACTTATTACCACACCTCACTTTGAAGTACCAGTCAGTTTAATACGATTCAAGGATAATGTAATAAGGAGTGGGTAGGATCGTTTAGGTTTATAGAGGATGCCTGTGTATTATTACATTAATATTTATAATTCTTTTGTAACTGAATAAATAACTACCTTTATTGACATACATGTTTGTACAAAAGCCTCCCCTATTAGAGGAAACTAAGTTGCACTATAACACAAGAAATTTTCTTTTTATTAATTCAAATAAAATTTAATCAATTTTTTTCTTTAAATAATTAACAATTTTTTATTTTTTAAATCTAATCATCCTTTATAAAATTAACTAGAATGAAACTAGTTGGATTTTTTAAATCTTCATTAATATTTTGTTCCATACCATTCCATCTCTTGCCAGCACTTCCCAACAAACTCCCACTCTCTCCTGGATTTTGTCTCGACATCTTCTGGTGGGTAATCCTCTCATCTTCACATTGTACCTCGGAGTCCACCCTGTGCTTATTCTTGCTCATTTTGAGTCATTCATTCTTGCTTTGTGGCATGCCCAGTTCCATTTCCTTGGAGGGAGGGCAGTTGTAAACGTTGTCGGAGTTTCTCTTCGCTGACCTTGTCTATCCTGTTTATACCAGAATGCTCCTTACCATTTTTCTTTGTGTATTTCGCAGATTTTCATCCATTTGTCTTGTCACTGTTTTCATCCATTTGTCATGTTTGAGTTTACGGTGCAACTGGGTACATTCATTTTGTTAGAATCGATGCTTTCACATTTACTGAAAAACTTCCCTTGAATATCTCATCAAGTTTCAAAGCTTTTGGATATGTACTTGTATTTTTTGTATTCTCTTGTGTATTCAATGACAGTACCATCAACTTTCATTAGGTGTCTCCATTGAGACATTGTTCACATTCGAAGATGATATGGCTGTTTCTTCCTCCTCATTGCATAATCTGCTGCCAATGGGATCATTGTTGAATATGCCCATGTTATGTAGACGTTGTCTCAGATGCTGGTGACTGGTTAATAGCCCTATCACTCCTCAGGCCTAATACGCACTGGGATTCTTTGAGTGGACTGTTTGAATCTCCGGAGAGTCTCGGCTGCGTCTAGCCTGAGTCCGGGCTGCCCCGACTCATTGTTGCGGTGAATCTGGTGTGTTGCGGGCTAGCATTTTCGGACTGTTTTGAATCCCATCCGATATGGGATTCTTTGACTCAATGTTGCGCAATATTCGCCAGTGCGAACGTGAATCGTAACAAGCGCTCTTGCTTCATTTATTTAGTTCACGTTGTAGTGTTTTCTTGAAGATTTTGACAGTGTCTTACCTAAAGTTTTCAATATGTTATTTCGAAACATACTTGATTCCTTGTGATTTGGGTTAATTTGGTTTATTATTGGGTTATATTTTTACCTTTTTATCTANCTTACCTAAAGTTTTCAATATTTCGAAACATACTTGATTCTTTGTGATTTGGGTTAATTTGGTTTATTATTGGGTTATATTTTTACCTTTTTATCCTACAGCAATATATAATTTCCAAACATAAAAGTATTTGCTTGCAGTTCTTTACTTCTTATTCAATTCTTCTTTAATTCTTTACTTACCTTGATGTATTCTCAAACGATGAATGATGGCTTCGCACACTTCTGGAACGAAATCTGATATTGATTTTTTTGAAATCCTGAATCCTCATGAGGCTTGTATATGAGTCTCCACTCTCTAGGAACTGGAGAGTGGCAGCTAATCTATTGGCCGGAGAGATAGATTCCCGAAATTTGATTGCCAACTTTTATTAAAATGGTTTCGAAATCGGTCGGGGACATCCTCAAAAAATTTCTGAACCCTGTGCCATCGTTTAATTACAACATGGCCAAAAGATTTTTCCCGTGCTGATTGCCGCCGTGAAATATTTGTCGAACCCACCATCTTTTTGGGCATTTTTTAATGGACTTCTGATTGGATTCACTACGTACAATGCAAAAAAGAGCAAGGGAAATTCCTGAAAGAGCTAGATCCTCCGTCATTTTCACAGGCACTGATGAATGTGAACTGAATCTTGGTCTGGACACGATTCTTTGTCACGGAGCAGAGTCGGGGCTGCGTCGCAACAATGAATCTACGCAGCCCCGACTCTGCAACGCAACATGAATCGACTCAAAGAATCCCAGTGCGTACTAGGCTTAAGAGTATGGACCTCTACAATTGCAGCAGTGAGTTTGCCAGTCTTGGTCAGGGTTGTTTTAGCATAAGATTTCTGTGTCTAGCACCTCTAGAGCTTCTCTCTCTCTCTCTCTCTCTTTCTCTCTCTTTTAATCTATTCTGTGCTCTTTTAATCTATTCTGTGATGGAGAATTTCAACAACCTGAGAATAGTAGCAAGCATCCCTTTTTCAAAGTACCCATTCCTGAACTGAGGTTCTTCGGAGTTTTTGCAACTCCAGACTTCAGCTAGGATGGCCCGTTGGACAGCCCTGCCCCTCTTTGTCTGGGTATTCCAACATCACCACGGCCATTTTTACTGTTTTGAGGGCTTGAGATATGTCTCATTCCCTCCCCACCAACAATGTTGGTTTGTTCTCCATCGCTTACCTCAATTTTGCTTTTTTTGGGAGGACACGTCCTAGGAGCACTTCCACTTCATGATAGGGTGCTACCCAGTGACCTGTCCCTTTTACCACTTTTGGTTGGCGTTGGCCCTGGTTTTTTGGAGTCACACTTCCAGTGGTCGATTTCAGTGCCAGAGTCGGAAGTGAACATTAGGATTTTCCTTTCCTTTCCTGATTCTTTTCAGGATTAGCTCCCCCCCCCTTTTTGTTTGGCTCTGATTGCCGTTTTATGCCTCTGAGCCTTTGAGAATTTCTTTTTGAGGAGTAGTTTTTCAATCTTCTCTGTCACCACCATTTGAGTGGTTTCATCTTCTGGTTTGGTATTTATATCTTCCTGAAGACTCCCCTCACATCTGCAGATGGGATTGGAGTAGGAGGCGGAGTAAGGTATAGGGTTTAGGAAGTGTCAAATACAGCTCCTGTTCCTACGACCCCACTTTCCGTCTTTGATTAACAGGGTACATGTTAGCTTCATAAGCTTCGTGAAGGTGGAAAGTCAGAATTGAGTATTAGAGGCTATTAGAGACGCATAGTACCCATTTGTACCCCATTGGTGAGGCCTTTTTCATTGCGTATTTTCGCTAGGTTGTCTAGCAATTTTTTCAGATCCTTGCCATCCCTTGTCACTACCATCACATCGTCGGCAAATCTAAGGTTCATTTACTTACTCCCATTTATCAGAATGCCTTCGAAAATACTTGGTAGTATGGTGTTCAATAAAATTGGTGATAGTGGGCATCCTTGTCGAACCCCTTTTTCATTTTAAACTTTCTACTTTCAACTTTTTGTAAATAATATTATAATTATTTTTGGAAACTATTGAGTTTATGTGCCTACGCTAATTATGCAATAATTAATTGAAATGGTTTTGTTTCTAGGTTCGAAAATATCAGAATATGCCAGCCGGCACCTTTACAAATGGATTTTTAACCAAAAAGCGTACCAAGAGGGAGATATAGTGCAAGCTATTGAAAACGTAAGTTTTGACAGTCGAATAATTGCATTCATTACTTAATTTTATAATTTACTACGTTTATATCCATATTCAGTTCTGTTTTACCTTCTTGTAATGAGCGAACATGAAAAATTGATAGTTGTAACAAGTAGGTAGAAAATAAAATTAATAGATGTATAAAATTAATAATTGTAAAGAGTATCAATTGGTAATTTTATATTTTATTTTAATTTTATAACATTTATTAAATTACAGGGCTACCTTGAATTGGATGCTTTTATGAGAGAAAACAAAGTTTTACGGGATGATTTGGCTGGTTCTACAGCAGTAGTGGTGCTTATAAAGGGCAACACCCTTTATTGTGTATGTAATCCTTTTGTATTTATTCATCTTCAGTTTTTTTAATTTTCAGTTGTTATTTTAAGAATAATTTGTCATATAAATTGGATTGATGTTTCAAATTATAAAAGGAAGAACAAATCAGATTTGTTTGGGTTTGAATAATATAACCAGAACAGTTTTATGGCAAGCAAAATAAATTGTAAACAATAACAAAGTATATTCTTTCGTACAGAAAGGCTTCTTGTATTATTCTGATACAATGCTACTGATAACTTTGTTATCTTTATGAATAAGAGTGGAGAAGTAATCTATTAATCATACACCTAACACGCATTTTGAAAGAAAAAAAGAGCCAGGTGAGTCATCAAATTGGTTGTCTCCTCTTTTTTTTAAAATTGTAAATGTGGGTTGATCAATCTTCAATATTTCAATTAATTAAGGATTTTAGTTGGGATAAAAAAGTCAGTGTCACGAGCAGGATTCGAACGCACGATCTTCGGCTAGATACACCGCTGCTCTACCACTTGAGTCTTGAGCTATCGTGACCTCGATCCACTCGGACACCAACTTCCCACCTCAACCCCCTTTTGAGATTTCCCTCCTTTTTGCCATTTTTCAAATGTCGTGTAATCGGATTGGATTCTCGACGACAATTGAATTGGCCACAGAGAGCTTTAGTGAGGCAAAGAGGAGGGAAAACTCAAAAGGTGGGGTTGAGAAGGGAAGTTAGTGTCCAAGTGGATCAAGGTCACGATAGCTCAAGTGGTACAGCAGCGACGTATCTAGCCGAAGATCGTGGGTTCGAATCCCGCTCGTGCCATTGGCTTTTTTATCTCAACTAAAAACCTTAATTAATTGTAATATATTAATTGGTCAAACGGACCACGAAATTAGTGAAGTTAATTTGAGTTTCGAATTATCAATTCCCCCTCCGTTTCTACGATAGATTTCCGTTGGAGTTGGTATGACTGGTGAGGTTTGTTTTCTCTGAGGGTTTTTGTATGTTTTTCATTCTTTTTCGCCATTTTTTGTGGGTTCGAATCCCGCTCGTGACACTGACTTTTTTATCTCAACTAAAAACCTTAATTAATTGAAATATATTAATTGGTTAAGCGGACCACTAAAACTAATGAATTTAATAAGTAAAAATGAAGTATGTATTCACTAAAGCTCTCTGTGGTCATTTCATTTGTCGCCGAGAATCAAATAGATTACACGACATTTGAAAAATGGCAAAAAGGAGGGAAAATTCAAAAGATGGGGTTGAGATAGGAAATACTTCTTGTGCTTGTTTTTCTGCTTGTTTTGCAATCACCATGCTGTTGAAATCTAACATTTGCCTGCAACTTCTCTCCGAGCTTCATTTTTAATTTTATTACAATGTGTGTTACACCTCATTTCATCTTATCGTGAGATTAATCCACTTTGACAGTGACTGGTGTGTAAGGCAAATGCCGACTAGTGTCTTTTGAGTTGAGTCAACCAGTGGGAATGAGAACATTAGTGACACTTGTGCTTTTTGTGTAAATCACAGGCAAAGGCTTGTAAGATAGGGAAAAATAAAGTATGTGTATTTTAGGATTTAAAATGTTTTATTTGTATTTTAAAGGGCAATGCTGGCGATTCAAGAGCAATAGCTGTTGTAAATGGTACGGTCCGACCACTATCTCACGACCACAAGCCGACAGAACCTGCAGAGTACGCACGGATAAAGGAGGCTGGTGGATGGGTCGAGTATAACCGTGTCAATGGTAATTTAGCGCTTTCAAGGGCTCTTGGCGACTACATGTTTAAAACTAACAGTAAAAAAAGCCCTAAGGAACAAGTCGTTACTGGTAAAAAGTTCAACAAAATTTAATTTTTTAATATACAATTTTTTTAAAACAATTATTTGAATTTTTTTCTCCAGCTTTTCCTGAAGTCATTGTAGAAGAAATAGATGAATCTTGGGAGTTCATCGTACTAGCCTGTGATGGTATCTGGGATGTTATGTCAAATGAAGTATGTTCAATGAAAAACTAAAAATTTAACAAGAAGAGGCTACCAATTTTAATGAAACTTTTTTTTTTGTGATATGAAGTCAGAAAATTTTAGACATGTCTCCGAGTGTTCTTGCCAGTAGACTTTAGAAGTTTTTTTTTTTTTTAGAAGTATTTTTTTTTTAGAAGAATTTTATTAATTTATATGATTTTTTTACAGCTTTCTGCCTTTGTTGTGCATGTATTTCAAGGTTATTACATCATTTCGAATTTTCCCTCCTTTTTGCCATTTTTCAGCCGAAGGTCGTGGGTTTGAATCCCACTCGTGGCACTAACTTTTTCATTCCAAGACATTACATAAAAAGAATAATTAATTGAAAGAAGTAAATTGGTCAGTCAGACCACTAAACATAATGGAGTTACTATATCAGTCGATTTGTTTTTTGTTAACTAGGATAAGAAAATAGTATGCAGGATCTTGTATTAAATGAGATTAGATATATAAAAGGTTACAAAAATAAAAAGATGCTTCCAGTAAAGTAGGCCAAAAAATATTTTTATTGGAATAAATAATTCGTGCTTGTTTTTAGCATCCTTTAAATCAATTCATTACAGATTTTTATGGCAAACAAAAATGGGCATTTTGTTTGGCTGGGGTCAATTTTTTTTCTTTCTGATGTCCACTGTTCTACTTAATTCAAACAACATCCACTGTTTTACTTAAAAATTCAAATACCCATCTTTATCCTTATTATCCAAATTCATTATTAGTACTGCTGAAAATCTGAAAATTTCAGTCTTTGTCAACAAGGTTAATTTTATGCCATTATAAGTGAGAAAAATGGAATCAACAAAAACTCAATTCTTTAATTTTATAAATACAGTTCTAATTTATTTACGGAGGCCTGGTTTATGCCATTACATGTTGCTTATTGGCTTCCAAACCTCTGTAAGATTTCCCAGTTGTCATGGGCCACCAACCCAGGATTCTGATTATACAAATAATCAAATATAGGAAATGAATAAAAAGCTCTTTTTTAAGAAACTAAAAATTTAATCTCTATTTTTTTTATGAAACAAATATAACAAAGAAATAAAAGATTTCTCCCTTCAAATGTTTGTTCTTCTTTCCAAAATTTATAACTGATCAAAGTTGATCCTCTGTGTCTTGATAACACCTAATTCTTTTTTATTACCCACTCTGGATGATGATGTTTATTGGCTACTACTATTGCCACTGGACACCTCATATCACCTGGAAGTATATATGTATATATATATATCCCCATAAGTTCCCCTGCGATAGAGATTTCTCAGTGCTTAAAAAAAATTAATAAAAAATTTTTAAAAAAAGTATAAGCAGTTAAGGGACATGCAAGGCTAATTCTAACAACCAATAAAAGTAAAAGTTTGGTAAACCTAGTTCCTCCTGGACTGATATTGGATTTAAAGTGTTGGTGGTTTAGAATATACAGTAGACTCTAGATTAACTGAGATCCAGTTATCTGATTTTCGGGTTAATCGATTAAATCCAAGATTTAAAAAAAATTAAAAACGCATATTAAATATGTATGTAAACTAAACTAATAAAGCCATCTAAACTCCAGTCACGGCAATAAGTACAAATATTTTCTTAGAAGCTCTAATGGCATCATTACGATAATATCCAGTACTGATAATTTCCTAGATTCTACTACTCAGCTTTTTAGTTTTCTATTCTTTTATGTATGTACATACTTCAGTATAAAATTAAACATTGAACAGTACACGTAAGTAAAAATGGCTGAACACGAAACCAAACGAAAACTGGTTTTGATTTCAATTTAAAAAAAAAATTGCAGCAATTAAACTAGCCATTAAAGGGGCTAGTGGGCGATTGGCTCAGAACAGTGCCAAACTGGAAGCATTCACACTACAGCCGTGTTCAACATCGGCCGACCGGAAGTCGATGAAGCCTTCAAAGTGCCCATTGATGAATGAGGCTATCTTTTTGTGTTCGTTCAACAGAGGAGCAAAGGAATGAGTATTTTTGGTCTGATTATCAAAGAAAAAGCCATGATCTTAGCTAAAAAAATTTCCCACCGATATTGAAAAATTGCAAGGGAGTGAAGGTTGGTTATGGTAACAATACATGCAAAATAAACATATTTTTGTACAAAATGCATTTTTTAATTAATTTTCATTTCAAATTTTTTTTTTTTTTTTTTTTTTTTTTTTTTAAAACTAATTACCAACGTTTTCTCACAAAAAAAGGACACACTAACACATAGATCCTTGGTTGATCAAGAGAACTGTATTTAAAAAAAAAAANTGTACAAAATGCATTTTTTAATTAATTTTCATTTTTTTTTTTTTTTTTTTTTTTTTTTTTTTTTTTAAATAGTCGATTATCCGAGTTTTTCAATTATCTGAGGTAGGTCTGGTCCTGACTGCCTTGGTTGATCAAGAGAACTGTATTTAAAAAAAAAAAACATTTAGAAGAACATGAAGGGACTGTGATGGCAAAAATGTTCATCAGTGGACTACAAACCTGCATGTTTTAGCAAAAGGTGTTGGGGAACATATCCAACAACCCCAGCATATCCTTCTGGATTATATATCCATTATGGAACAGACACACTAACCACGGTCCCCTCCATATATTCCCTGGATATATTCCAGTAAATAAGCAAAAACGGAAGACCTTGAGAAATTGAAGCGATTCTTATTAGAAACAAATGTCATAAAAATGTTTTACATGATATTTTAGTGACTAACTAGTAAGCAGGAATCAACTGAAAATTATGACCTGACTCATCCACACTGGTAATGATAGGCCAAGCAAGATTGTCACAAGGACACTTATTTTTGGCCTAAGGCCCACATATGTGTCCAGCCGGCATGTAGAGAAAGGTTGCTTGATGTGTCCCACCAAATTGAAGGTGTAATTCCTTCTTTCTATATAGAGAGCGAGAAGGAATGCCACTAGATATGAGAATTGTGCTTGAACAAAGCAGCAAATATCTGGGCCCCCCCGGTTCCGATTTTTGGAGGAAACAGGATTGTTTTATTGTATAAAGTACTGATAGTTTTGTGTACCTAGTGACTAGAGAGTAAACGTATTTATTAGTGTGAATGTGTAGTGTGAGAAGGCCGATGGTGGAATATCGAGTACCCCATCGACCCTCACATAATCTAGTTATATAATAGTGATGTGAAAAGGGTGATGGAGGAATATCAAGTACTCCACTACCCTGAGTGAAAATAAGTAAAAAAACTCTATAAGAGTGAGAGGGGCTGAAATACCAAGCTTTGATAATCGCTGGGCCCAATCACGGTGGCTGGACGGAAAAAACAGTTCTGACCTCGGTCCGCTAACAGCCAAGGAGGGTGATTCTTGAGGCTTACCGGTAATTTATTGTAAATTATAAAAGGTGGAATTTCTGAAGTGATAGGCTCTGTAAATGTGTGTGCATGTGCAGATTTGAGCTTATATAGATAAGTAATCAATAAATCTTGAACTTAATGGGAACATAGTCAAGTAAATGTAAAAATTATCACCAATTTATTTTTGTTTACCTTTATTAGATATATCTTTTGGGTTTTGTATATTTGTGTACATCTACTCTCATTTAATACTTGCATACTAATTTCTTATCATATGTTTAAAAAAATATTGCCAAGAACCTAGTAAAAATGTTTCATTGAAATTGGTAATGTCATTAGCCTCCCTTTGTTAGCTAAAGCATACTTAACACATTTGGAATATTCTATTAGTACTACTAGTAATGTCAATTTATCTTAGGAGGTGGCTGGATTTATAAGAGATAGGTTGATGAGACAGTTACATCCGGATGTGATTTGCGAAGAATTGATGATGACTTGCCTTGCTCCCGACAGTCAGATGGGCGGTTACGGCTGTGATAATATGACAGTTACTATAATTGTGTTCCAGAATACTAAAGTACAAAATTTAGAAAATGTGGCATTAGAAAAACATCTCTTACTGTAAATAATGAGAACTTTGATTAATACCGGTATGCAATTTTATACGTTAAATTTTTAAACGGCGATCTTATTTTTTCTATGCAATTGTACTAAAAATTTTATTACTTGAGCTGTGTTAATTAGTAGTTACGATTTTCCTTTATCTTCTCAACAATAGTTGCATCTAACTTTTAAATCTTTGTTTGTAAATTAATAATTATGTGTGCAGAATTAAATCTATATCTAAAAGTTTTGGTGATATGAGGCTTTTAAATGAATTTATTTGTAATAATACTTGTAGAGATTGAGAAAAGACTGAATGTTAGATCGTAGATTTTTTTAGTAGGGGTATAAACATACTTGCAATAATGAAATTTTTTGTAATAAATTAAATTTCCTAGTCTTCATAAATTAGATATTTTTAATTACTTTTGTTATTTAAAAAAAAAAGAGTTTTAGTTTTGTTTAATCATAAAAAAAATCATTTTGAATAATAAAAACAGCTTTTTCTAACATAAATTTTCCATTGTTTTTGTTATAGGTGGCACAATTTTGGTTGATAAATGTAATATTCATTGTCATCATTAAATTTGTTAATTAATTAACTTGATCACTAGTTTCCAGTGACTCATTACATTTAATACAATAAATGACAAATTGTACATTTGCAAAACTGGTGTCTTAATTTTAATGCTCGATCCTTTATATTTCCATAAAACTTATTTAACCCACTTTAGTCGGCCAATTTATGCTATTAAACTGGTAAGTTATTGTATGAAATAATTAAAAAAAAAAAAAGACTACTGTTTACACAATCGTTAAAATACGAAATTGGAAGTAAATCAATTACGGAATCTTGGATGTTTGGACAATGAAACCCAGTAGTAAATTTGGATAATATAAAAAGGTGTTATCAATGTAAGGTACCAGGTAGGTATCTGGTAACGCATAGGCTGGCGTATGTGTCGTGCATGTAAAGAAAGGTTGCTGGATGTCTTCCTTGGCTCAATATGGAGAGCATGAGGAATGCCGCCCGATATGAGAATTGTGGTTTACCATGGCAACATTTGGTCTCCTGTTCTTTTCCATTTTTTACCCATTCAATGCAGGACTGAAATCCAAGACCATATCCAGGTATTGAAATTTTTTTTTGTTGAGTCGAATTATTTACAATTTTCGTGTTCTAAACCATTTCAAAAACCTATTTTGACGAATTTTTCTTTACCAATGTGTGAATGAGGAAAAATATTTCCATGCTGATCAAATAATAAGAAAAAAAAACTTTTTTTGGGTAAGAACAATTTTTTTTTTTGGGGGGGGGCGTCGGTGGCCGCAAGGTTTAGTTTTTGACACAGCGCTCATCACTGTAAGGTAAAGGTCCCGGGTTCGAATCCAGCGGCCCTGCAATCGAACCCGACATACTTACAAATGGGCTTTTTTTCAAAAACACCGGCACCCTGAGGGTTTATATGACCTCTGCTGTTGCGAACCCTCGTAAAAAAAAATATATATATATTTTTTCTCTAATATTTACAGTTGTTAACCATGTTTTTAATTTTTACAAAATGAATTTAAAAAAGAAACAAAAATATATTTATAAAACAGTGTATTTACAACAATAAAATTATACATTTACAATTTTTCACTCATTTGTATTGTTTAAAATTAAAAAAGTTAAAAAACAATATAAATTCAATTAAATTAAAAAATACAACAAATTTTGTGTTATTTTTGATTCTGGAAAAAACAAGGATATTGCACATTTTAAGAAAATAAAACTATAAATTATAATTTCAAAAAACTGAGACGCCGTTGATGAATTTTGTAAAAAGATATTTACCTACATCCTGGCTTCCTTTCACTATGTTAAAACGGTGGTAAAATTTAATTAGTTACGTATACATACTGGTTCTATAATTACATACTTCGTCGAAGTTGGTTTCCAACAAAATCGGAGCCAAAATAACTAAAGCATAAAAAATATTAGTTTTATGTAAAGAGAAAGCAACAAACCTTATTTTTAATTTTAGAAATTATTACTATTTAGAAGAAAGGTCAAACTTACAGGAAAACAGCGGTATAGAAAGTAAATTTGTGTTTGTAATGCTATCTAGTGGTTTAAGTTTAGAGACTCAGGTACGATTCTCGACTATAAGATACTCTGGCAGATACTTGGCACCTGAATGGTTCAAGCCCTATGGAGAAATTATACGACTTTTATAACTAAAATGTGGAAAATTTTTTTTTTACATAACAGAGACAGAGAGAGAGAGAGAGAGAGAGAGAGAGAGAGAGGCTTGACTCCACTGTGGGGTCACCTACATTGAATATGTTAACAACGTTTTATTGTGATTGGTTGATTGATTTTTGGTATTGATAGGTGTAGGTTGAGAATAAATGTATTTATAGCGTGAATGTGTAATGCGAGAGGGCTGATTGTGGAATATTGATTACCACACCGACCCTCAATTAGATTAGTTATGTAGTATGTGTAATGGCTGGTAGAGGAGCTCTTGCACGTCTAGAGCACAGTTAGGTCCTCAGAGAGTCTAACCTGCAGAAGAAGGACTGGCTTAGAATCGACCATTTGCGGGTGACACACAGACACTTATTTTTGGGCCAAAGCTTGCTTATTTGTCTGGCAGAGAAAGGTTGCTCAATATGTCCCACTTAATTGAAGTCAGTATTTCTTGGCTCCATATAGAGAGCGTGTAGGAATGTCACTTGTTTGAAAGTTGTGCTTGATGGCAGCGAATATTTCGATCCCCTGTTCAAAGATTTGGACAAAATAGGGATGTTTTATTGTATATAGTACTTGTTATATATCACAGTTTGTGTTTCCTTCTGTGTATATTGACAGGGAATGTATTTATTAGCATAAATATGGTGTGAGAAGAGATGTGATAGAATATTGACTACCCCATTGGCATTCAAATAGATTATTTATACGATATGTGTAAAGGGTTGCTCGATATGTCCCCCTCTTAATTTAAGGGTGGCATTTCTACACATTCTCTATGTGGACTCGAAATTAAAATTGTGATTGAGCAGCATTTGGGCCCCCTTTTCTAATTTTTGGAGGAAACAGGGCTGTTTTATCGTATATAGTATTGATAGACATTTTATTTTTTGTTCGTTGAGAGTAATTGTATTTATTAGCGTGACATGTGAGAGGGCTAATTGTTGGAATATTGATTACCCCATCGACCTCAATTGTATAAGTTCATAATATGTGTAATTGAGTAAATAAGAAATAATGTATTTAAGGATGAGTTAGGGTGTGAAAGAGGACATATGTTTAGGTTAACAACTAGGTTAACTTTTAGGAGACTGAAATGACCTAGATTTCAATATGCATAAGTTTAATTCTTATTCTGACTTACAAAATAGCATACAGACCAACTGATTTAGATGGTGAAGTTGCATCTGACAGGCCAAAACAGCAAGAATAGTCAGGATGATTGAAAACAACCAAACCACAATTTATAAGTTTGCAATTTTATTTTTACTACAGACATTTAACCAATATTTTTTAAATGAACTATGGATTTCTTACTTGTAAAGAAGTTCAGTCGTTATTTATATTGTCAGTACTTTCCATTTCATTAATGATATTTTCATCCTGTTCATTTGGAATATTTGTATTTTCCTCTGTGTCTTTTAATTTTTCGACTGTTTCAACTTCTTTCTTTTCTATAATTTCCGTCTCTTCAATTTTTTCATAACCGTTTATTTGTGCGTCAATTGTAGGTTCCCCTTCTTTTGATTGACTTTCCGTTTGTTCTTGTTCCGCCAATTCCATTTCTCTCTTCAAAGCGATCATCTTCAAATCTTCTTCACACTCTTCGCAATAATTCTTTGGCCGCCTTTCCTTCATTAATGATTGTATTTCTTCAAAAGCAGGAATATTTTTGATATATTCTTCCTCATTTACATCGTATTGATTTTTGCTAAATAGCCAAAATTCTTCTTTACCATCTGTCTTTTTTTTAGTGATGTGAAATTTTTCTGCAAAAAAATTATATTTATTGCCATATAACATATTGGAAATGTGTAAGAGATTTATTACCTCTATTTGCTTCATACTTTGCTTTAACTTTATCTATGTACCCAATTTGCTTCAGATATTCAGGAACCTTTTGTTGAGGGTTTTCAGTAAGCCAAATACAATAATAATCAAGAACTCTGTGCACATAAACAAAAATTAAATTATATATATGTTTATTGTTTTATTTAAGGCTTACTCTGAGCCAAGAAGCTTTTCCCAAAGATCTTGGCCTGATTTAAGTTTCCTTGTGACAAATTTTGGCCAGAACCATAGATTAAATGTATCCTTATTCCAAGGCTTATGTTTTTCTGTTACTGGGAGACATTTCCCAAAGGCTACAGACTTGACTTCTTTTTTCTCATATTCTGCATCCCATTTTAAAAGTTGACGTGTTATTTTACGTTCGGCTTTCTATGCAATAAAAATTCTACATAATAATGTTGAAAAACTATCTTAAATGTGAAAAACTTGAAATGACAAGTTTTTTATGTCGTATTGAGCAATTATAAACTTACATGTTTCACGTGATATAATTCAGCAATAGTTTTCGGTACAGTGGGCAACTCTTTAATCTCAGCACAAAATGACAACGTGGCTGGATAGTTCAAACTAATATCAAACAATTCTTTCAGGGTCTTTTCGTCTATTCTTAAATTTTCCATGCCAATGCTTTCTAGCCATTTACAGAATTCTTTGGCGATCTAGAAATTTAAAAAATAAATCACCTTAACACTGTTTATTTTATAAAAATGTATTGCATTTAACATTCTGAGGTATTTTTTAACTTTTAATTTTATATTAAACTAGGATAAGTCGAATTTCGAAGAAAACACTTGTGTTCTTTTGTTGAAAATTGTGGGAATGTTTAGCTTTTTTCCATCAAATTAACCTCTTCAATTTCAAAATAACCCTTTACAACTTCAAATTAACACTTTTTAATTGAAAAATAACCTTATTTTTTGAGTTTATTGTCATGGATCTACAGCTCACCCCTTTCAAATTTGCCGTTTTTAATCGCAAATAACCTTATTTAACTTCAAATTTGCCCATTTTAATTTTGAATTAACCTTATTTAAGTTCAAATTAATACTTTTTAATTTTAAATTTGCCTTGTTTAATTTCAAGTTAACCCTTTTCTTTTGAACTCATGCAGGGCCGCTGGATTTGAACCCGGGACCTTACAGTGATGAGCACCGTGTCAACGCCTAAACCGTTGTGGCCACCGATGTTCCATCACAAATACACCCAAACATGCTATAACGTTCACACTAATAAACACATTCACTCAAATTAAGTTCATTTCACAATCTATGAATGAAACTGCTCACTATATGCAATCATATACATTTATTTGCTTCAGGCATTGAAACAATTTCTTATTATAACGACTAATGTGTTTAGAAGATGATTTTGAAATTTCAAATTAATAGAAGAATTATTTGTTTTAATATTTTAAAAAATATATAAAATTAAATAATTAAAAGGCAAATTATACCTGTTTAAGGTTTTTAATGCTTTAGAGAACAGTTAATTTGATGTTAAAAAGAGTTAATTTCATGTTAAAAAGAATTAATTTCATGTTAAAAAGGGTTAATTAGTTTAAAAAGGTTTATTTGATGGGAAAATTATAACTGCTCCATCAAAATAGGGTAATGTGCTCATCCTCTTCTGCAGAACTTAAAAACCATTAAACAAATTTACAATAGGCATGTCCATTACCAAGGGTGGCCTTACCCTTGATTTTTTATGTAAAATTAAAATCTCGAAGGCCGTTTTTAATTATTTCAGATTTTTTTCCCAACATTATGCTAAGTTTATCTAATTTAAATTATTTTGCGTTTTTTTTTTTTTCAATTAATGATTTTTGTTGCTCTGATATATGCCCAACTCACCTTGGCAGACTCAAATTCACTTTGCTCTTCGAGTGTCATTTCACTGTAACTCGTTTTTCGTACTGGTTTTCTCCAATTAGCCGCGACCTCGTTGTTCGTCATTGAAAGCATTTTTTGAAAAGCACTCCTTCTGTCTTCTAAAATATCTGCAGGTGGTCTGATAAATAGATTAATGAGTAGCTTAGACATCGGATTTGAATCTTAATGGTCTTTTATAATTAATTCCTTAAATGGAGATATGTTTTTGAAATAGATGAGGATTTTGGTCTGCGAGTCAGTGAACTCATCCTTACCCTGTGCTGGTTCAGCATATTTTTGAAAGAATAATGAAAATGATTAGGTTGTACTTATTCTCACTTAGTTTCTAAACATTCCAATGAGGTTTTTAAATAAATATTTAGTAATATTACTTTTTTTCCAAGGATTTCAAATCTCTCAGTCAAAATTTTTAAATAAAAATCCAGTTTTCACAAGAAAAATATTTTCTAAGCTTTACTACAACCGGTGAGCAATGATAGAGTTACGTTATATTAATCCAGCATTTTCCTGCACATGTTCAAAAATTTTGGGATTGTATGTGGGTTTATGGTCTCTGCCTGTGTAATATTGCTCAATTATGACAAATATTAACACTACAGTAAGTGGAGGCAATAATAAATAAAGGCTAGGTCATCTGAAGACACCCTACATCATAGTCTAAGTCTATCTCCAACCAAGTAACTTTCGTATCGAGAAGCTGAGGTGCATAGTGATGACAAGACATCCAAACAATCAAAGGCAAAATTTAAAACTTTGTCAGAAAAAAAAAAAACTTTCTGTCTGGGAGATCATCAGGCCATATGATCTAGTTTTGCTAGAAGGAAGCAAGGATGAAATAAGTGCTGCACAGAAGCAACTGGAAATTTTTAATTAACGTATAAATTGATGACCCAATGAGAGAATTGGCATGGATCAATGGTCTGATGCACAAAGACTTCAGGTTAAAGCAAAATAATAACCCTGCACTACTCAGTTTTGCCTTTTAATGAAGAAAGTACTTCTCATAACACATTGATAAATATTTTGTTTTATTGTATTCATTCATAGACAGAATAAACTTCACTTTTGTATCGAACTTATCATTACATGCAATCTTCCTCATGTTTCAATTTTAGAATGTGTTATAAACATTAAAATTCAAATTGATCACCTTCATATGAAGGCAGCTAAAGCCAAGAAGTCCCACCCCAGGATAGCAGGACAGATAAAACAGAAGTCTTTGGATTGCCAAAACCTGAGGTGGGTGATTCTCATGACCTATCATTAATATATATATATTATATATTTATATATATTATATATAATCTGGGAAGTTTAGGGGCCGACATGCAGCTGAGGTCATCGCTGGCCCTCTGCATGTTTGTACATCTTTTCCTGGTCTTTCATGCGAATTTTTTCAACCTGCTTAATTATATACAATATGCTTAAATATTGCTTCAACTTTATAATAAATAACATTCGTAACAACTTACGTTGGAGGTTGTGTAGGTGGTATTACTAGAAGATCATCATCAAAGCTTGGCAAATTTTGCTCCTCGAACAATTTGTCCAAATTGGGAGTTTTAAGCAACAATCTTCTCACAGGGGTTGTATACTAAACACATAAACAATCTGTTAAACACCATTATAGATATATAACATATTTAAAAAAAACCAACTCCAGTTTTATCTGTTGCCTTGGGTTTTTCTGTCGGAGAAGTGGATTCGGCCCTTGAACTATAAGTTGACGGCGAAGACTTTGCTCTACTTTCTTCAGTTGATTTCACCTCCTCATCAAGTTCAGCTAAATGCAAATTATTAAAAATATAAACCTATTCCAACAAGCTGTTATGTATTTCGTAAATATAACTATAATACCAAATGTAGGTGAAGAACGTATAGCCTGAAGGATTTGATCATAATCAGGTCGTTCCTCTTCTGCTAACACTTTAAGCATCCACCATTTAAAATTTGGTTCCAGATCCTATACAAATCATTATTGCAACTAATAATTAAAATTCACAGTAATTAAGAATGGTAAAACAGGTTTAACATTATAGTCAGTCTTGAAAAAGTCAATTGTAATTTCTTTTTACTACATTTTCTGTCATTTTTACTGATTACAGGGTTATATAATGTCAAATATGAACACGCACCCCCATACATACTTGTATGTACAGAATTGAGCCTATTTCTTCTTACAGTCCACCGTCAATTCCAGTTTTTGTAATTTACAAAAAATTACTGGCAGGTCTTGAGAATCACGCACCTTGGGTGTTGGCAGTCCGGGGTCAGACCTCGGTCTTATCTGTCCAACCACCGAGGTTGGGCTCTGAGGCTGTCAACAGCTAGGTCAATTCAGCACTCAACACATGCAGTGCCTAGATCCAAACCCATTCACACTCATACTCATTCTTAAATAAATTCTCTCGTATTAACATACAATTCACTCAGTTAGGGCGATGGAGTACTTGATATTCCTCCATCCCCCTTTACACCTATTATATGAGGAGCATGATAGTTCTACTTTATAGAACCTGTGCAAAAAACTTTTTTATTTTCAAACTTCAGTCTCCACATCAAGATATTTTAACATTCAGAGCCTAGTTGGGGTTAAGGCGCTTGGATTTATATGGACAAACCCGAGTAAAATCCTTCATACACAATGCTCCCAACTTTCGTCTGAACAAAGTAGACCCATAAGCATAAGAACTAAACCCAGAAATACCAAAGGTACAAGAGCTCTGAGAAAATCAAGAGTGGAAGATAGCAGTACAGCAGTACATATTGTTTTGTAAGTGTAAAGGCTACAACTTATAAAGAAAAAAAAAATATTTAAAAGGAAAAGAAAAGTTCAATCCAAGTTATCAAGACTATGGGAATAACAAAATGTTTGAAATTATAGTTATATGTTATGCAATATCCTTTATCCGGAAGCCCCGCGTAAGCCATAAAAAGCTTAACCAAGTAGAAGTATTTAATACTGTCATAAAGCACGAACGAATTTGTTTTATTCCAAAGAAAATGTTTTATATAAATAGATATGTATATAAATAGGCAAGCCCTACAGACTGCGGAGTTAAGCCGTGGCGTCGGTAAAACTTAGCAGAACTAAACTAATGCCAGAGCATGAATTTGATCTTAAATTTTTAATTAACAATGGTCAATAGTTTAAAGAAATCTAGTATTTTGAAGAGGTATACCTTGCATAACGCTTTTTCCGCGTCATGAATATCTTGAAACCATTCTTTAACCAAAAATGGCGACTTCCACCCTTTTTCTCTCTTTCTTCCATTTTTCTTATTTTCCAACTTATTATTGTTTCGCATATCTTTACCAAATTCACTCATTACTATTTTGACGTTTCCAATGGTTACCGACGGTAACGACCTAACGGCCTAGGGATCACCCCAACTCAAAATTGTTTTCTCTCTGAATTAGAGTTTTTCCTTCAAATTAACCATTTTTAACTTCAAATTAATCATTTTTAACTTCAAATTAACCCTTTCTTTAAAACAAAAAAACATGGAGGAGATGTTCATACCATTTAAGCATGTTAAGTAAAATTCCTGTATAATTAAGAATTTTTTTGATAAAAAAATTGTGCTCTTAGACCATATGAAAATTAATTTTAAAATTTAAAAATATTGGGTTCTTCTTTAATTTGAAATACATTTATGTAATTCAGTTGGGTTAAGAAACTTTTAAAAAGTTATAGCATAAAAAAAGACTGATTTGTTTAAATATTTACTTTTATACATTTTTAATTGTAACTAATTTCCACATAGTATTATAAGATTAATTAATTATTTAATAATTAAATAATTTTATAATTAAATATTGGTGTTTTCAAATACAGGAATTGTACTTTACCTGGTTATACTTCGTACCATTTCCTAGATTTTTTGTTGTAAAAAAAGTATTAATTTGAAATTAAAAAGAGCTAATTTACTACCTAAAAAATAGGTTACTTGAAATTAAAAAAGTTGAAGTTAATCTTTATTAATTTCCAATTAACTCTTTTTTACTTAAATTTTGCCTTTTTTAATTTCACATTAGCTCTTTTTGATTTCAAATTAATCTTTGTTAATTTCAAAGTAACTTCTTTAACTTCAAATTAACCGTTTTCAATGTCCAATTAACCCGGTCTTTAAAACATTAAAAAACTTAGGAAATGATATGAAATATGAGCATGTAAAACAAAATTCTTGTGTATTCATGATTTTTTTAAATATAAAATTTGGTTCCTAGAAGTCCATATGAAAATTAATTACTATTAAAATTTAATGTATGTTTCTTAGTGACTTTTTTTTTCATAATTTGTTGAAGTCGTGTGGAGTGGTCAAGAATGAGGTAGTTTAGAAAAACACCTTTTTCATTTTTTTGCCAATGTTTCAACCTTTATTCGGGTCGTCTCAGGGTCTAGATAAATTACAAAACATATGTTGATTGGAAAAAATACAATACAGATGTAAATATAAAATTTGAACCAGGTATTTCGTACTCACATAAAGTGTGGTGCTATTCTTGTAGTGTTGTGGTGTCATATTGGTTTGTGTGAAAGGGTCTGGGACGTGGTCACTGTGATATAAAAACAGTAGAATTTAAATTTACGTTTCACAATACTTTCACACAAACTCAATATAACACCTTAAGGATAGCACTACACTATGGTGCCACTATGTCATCAAAACCATCACATTTCTGTTGATCGACCTGCAGATAATCTATGTAGGGTTCCAATCTTCGTAGACATCTAATGACCTCTACAAAGATTGGAACCCTACATACATCACATTTTCAATTGTACAATATTCCAAGGGATGAGCATTCTGGATCGATATACTAAAATTAAAGAAATGGGTGTTTGCTTTAATGGTTTGAAGCCTGGCCACTCCCATGAAAGCATGCAGATCATCTCACTGTAAGTTTTACGACAAACCGCATCATACTTACTTGCACTGAGGTCGACTTAGACATAAATCTCCTGAGCCTCAGCCAGTAAAAGAACAAAACAGTGTAAAATCAATCCACACCCCATCAGTTGCGCACGTATCAAAGGGTTCTTATGAAAATAACAACCCTAACTATTCCATCATACTCTCAACCGCAATAGTTGATGCACGGACTCCTGAAGGAGATTATATCCCGTGTAGAGTTTTATTAGATTCAGGATCTCAAATCAACCTAATGTCTTACAAATCTGCTTGTCTAATTGGTTTGAAAACTAAACTTTGTGAAATCGAAATATCCGGACTAGCCTCATCGTGTGCCCAATCCAATAAATGTGCATCAACCATCATAAGATCCCGTGCAAGTGCTTTAAAGCTTCAATTGACTTTATTATCTTGCATAAGCTCACTGATTATAAACCACCCATGTTTCTCAATAGCAAATCAATCCAAATACCCATTTCAATTACCTTATCTGATCCTGAATTCTTTAATGATTATGAAATAGACATGATCTTGGGAGCTGAACTATTTTGGGACTTAGTCCAGTCTAGACAAATAAAATTTTCCAACAACTTTTTCCTTAGAGAAACAGCTTTAGACTGGATTGTATGCTGGGAAATCATATTTAGAAAGCCTAGCTCGTCACTTAACAAAACAACAATCCGATTACTTAATTATTATTACTTATTAATTACAAAATTTTTGGAAAATAGAAGAATTTCACAATCCTCATCTGAGAACCCGGGAAGAAGCGTGATGTGAAGAACATTACTAGAAACATGTGAATACAAAATCCAAATGAATCCAAGTGGGAGATTTTATCTGTTTTATTTACCTCAAATGCTTTAAAACGGACCAAATATTGTTGTAAAATCAATGGAGGATTGTTTAAGAGATAATTAAGAATATTAACGGTGGCCACTGTTTTTCCTCTCAGTGATGCGGGGAATATTTGAATTGCCGATAAACCGCACCCTATGCGTCCGTGCGCGTCGCATACAAAATCGAAAAACCGGTGGGGGCGCCTCAAACAAAAAATCCGTTTAAAGTCAAATCCCTCTGAGGGAAATTGTGCAAGGCAAATTTTCCGTTATAGTTTTCATTTTCCGACTGAGAGGAAAAACGATTTCGACCATTTTGTGGAAAGAGGGAAAACGCACTCGGCTGGGAAATGCGACGGTCCAACGTGTGAAGTTCGGGTTCGTGGAGTGGAAGCCCTGTTCTGTTTGTCAGTTCGGCTTAACACCGACGGGCTTGCCCTTTTCTCACTAGCAAGGGATCCGTTCGAATCCACTCCGGAACGCAGCGTGTTCGACCCGGTCCCCGTTTCTCTTTTTCGAATGCCAGCCGCGTGATTTGTCACGAGTCGTCTCAGTCCGATTTAAAGAAAAAACAAAAACAAATGAAAATGAGGAATCTAGGAATAACAGTTATTAGTCTCGTCTTGACGATTATCGTGATCGGAAATGCTTATTACCAGAAAAAACAGTTTTACCCTTCTGTTGTGTACATAACAAAATCAAATCCAAGCATGGCCGTAAGTATTCAAGTTATTAATTCGAACCAAATGCCGTTGACGCATTATCACCGACCCTTTTTTCATATCAGCACACACTTTCACTCTTAGCTCACTTTAATTTATTTATTTTCTTTTTATCCCTTCGTATTCCTTTACGGACTTTTTTTTTCTTAAGTCGCTTAAGCCTTTTCGAAGTTCTTTTACACACGGCCCGGTTTTGTCAAGAATATCGTTCCTTCTGGACGGGACACGTCAGATTTTCATTTTGACATGCCGCGTCCACAAAGCCACCCTATTGTTTATTCAATTTTCGATTTGTCTTATTCATGCTTTTATTTTATTTATTTATTTATTTATTTAAAGCTTTCAATCCGTGGGATTTGACGAAATACTTAGCATGACGTCTCTGCTTAGTATTTTTTCTCTCTAGGCCTAAGAACGCATTTGTCCCATTGATGTCAACCGAGCAGTAAACAGATTGTTTTTTGTTCGAAGTACTCTTCGGAAATTATGTATCTCTTTACTTTTCCTCCTCCACCCAATAGATAAAAAGAGGTCTGGTCAAGTCTAAAATATAATTTTATGTTCGGCACTTGGTATTTTTATAAAACTGACCAGCCAGGTCTAGGCTTAGGGTAAACTTTACTCAGCCGATCGTAATCGTGATGATCTTTCATGTGACCTGCAGTAGAATAAATGTGCACTCAAACAATTGAAATAAAGTTATTTTACACACATACACACACAAAGTAAATAATATAAATTCATGCAGCCTTATTATTATTTTTCCCCAAAAATAAATAAAAAGACGATTCTTCCTTCCAAGCATTAAGTTAAGTTTAAGTTAACATTAAGTCCATTAAGAGATAGTAGGGTTCGAATCCCGCTCGTGGCACTGGCTTTTTTTTTTATCTCACCCAATACCTTTCATACAAATTAGTTAACATTAAGTTTTGCAACCAGCAGTCATAGTTTTTAAATCCATCCTTGACGATTTTGCCTTGTGGACTTGATAACCCCCCCCCAAAAAAAAAGCTTAATTTAATATAATACTTTTTGTGAAAATTAACAACCAGATATACCTGAAAATTAGACCATAAAAAAAAACCCTGGAACAAGGTGAATAATATATTCGTTTTAGTTGATTAGAACTATTCATCTCAATTAAATTTTACTTATTCCACATGTGGACAGTTTTTTGTTATTATTATATTTTTTTGGCTTGCATAAAAGTTTTATCAATAATCAATCTCATTGTGAGGGTAATAGATTCGTTTGAATCAATTTGAACAAACTATTAATCTCAATTAAATTTTCCTTCTTCCATATGTGAACAGTTTTATGAGTTTTATTATGATTTTTTTTTGCTTGTTTAGAAGTCTAGAACTTAAGATGCCAAAAAGGCTTAGTTTACTATGTTCTTTCTGTGAAAATTAACAACTGGATTTACCTGAAATTTAGACCATAAAAACCCTAATCAAGTTGAATAAAAGTTTTGTTTGAATTGTTTGAAATAAATTTTAATTAAATTTTCATTCTTCCATACATGGACAGTTTTATTATTATTATTCTTTCTTAACAGTTTTATGAATAATCTTATTGAGAGAATTCCTCCAGTAGTCTGCGAGATAAACCTAATTTGATCCCTATAGATCATAACATTAGGTTCTACAGCTTTGCAATAGTCATAGTTTTTAAATTGTTTTAAATTTTTCTTCTTCCATATATAGACAGTTTTATGAGTTTTATTATTATGATTTTTTTTTGCTTGTCTAGAAGTCTAGAACTTAAGATGCAAAAAAGGCTTAATTTAAATAGTTATTTGTGTGAAAATTAACAACCAGATATACCTGTAATTTAGTCCGTAAAAACCCTAGAACAAGGCGAATAATAGATTTGTTTGAATCAATTCGAACTAATAATCTCAATTAAATTTTCGTTCTTCCATAAGTAGACATGTCTATTATTATTTCCACTATATTTCGTGGTCCGATTGACCAAATAACTTCATTCAATTAATTAATCTTTATGTAAGGTATTGGTTGAAATTGAATCCCGCTAACTTTTTCATTTCAACCAGTACCTTACATAAAGATTAATCTATTATTATTATTTTCCTTGCTTAAAAGTTTTATCAATAATGTCATTGTGAGATTTCATCCATGGTTCCAACCATAACATTAGGTTCCACAGCTCTGCAACCAGAAGTCATGGTTTTAAATCCGTCCTTGACGATTTTGTCTAGTGGACTTGATACCCAAAAAAGTGCTTTTTAATTTATTTTATTTTTTTAAATTAACAACCAGATACACCTGAAATATAGAATATAAAATCCCTTGAACAATCCATGTGAAAGGTTTCTTTGAATTCATTCGAACTATTCATTTCAGCTAAATGTTCCCCCTTTCCTTCTTTCATATGTGGACAGCTATATGAGTTTTATTATTATCATGATTTTTTTGGCTTGTGCAGAGGTTTATACTGAAGATGCAAAAAATACTTAATTTAATATAAATTGTTTTTGTAAAAATTAAGAACTAGATATACCTGAAATTTAGACCATAAAAACCCTAGACCAAGATGAATAAAAGATTTGTTTTAATTGATTAGAACTATTCATTTAAATTAAATTTTACTTCTTCCACATGTGGACAGTTTTATTGTTATTTTTTTTTGGCTTGCTTAAAAGTTTTATCAATAATCAATCTCATTGTGAGAGTTCCTCCTGTGGTCTGCGAGGTGCTAAACCTATAATTTTATCCTTACCGATAAAATGCTATTACGTTCCACACCTCTGCAGCCAACAATCTTAATCCATCCATTACTATTTTTTCTTGTTGACTTGAGTGTTAAATTTAATATAATAATTTTTGTGAAAATTAACAACCAGATTTACCTGATATTAAGACTGTATAAACCCTAGATAGACTAAGATGAACGAAAGATTTATTTAGACTGGTTTGAACTATTTATCTTAATTAAATTTCACTTTTTTCTTCTTCAATATATATGTATATATGGACAGTTTTGTTAATTTTTTTTGCTTGTTTTGAAATTATCAATGATCTCATTGTGAGATTTCAACCTGCGGTCTGTGAGGTGACGAACCTATAATTTGATACTTTTGAACTATTTATCTCAATTAAATTTTCCTTCTTCCATATACGGACAGTTTATTATTATTATTTTGTTAAAATTATTATTTTTATTTATTTGAATGATTCATCTCAGTTTTTTCTTTCTGCAATATACGGACAGTTTTATTATACAATTATTTTCTGGCTTGTAATTTCATTACTTACGAAAGTCATAAATATCATCATAGTACTAATAGCTTGATTACATCTTAATAAATCTTCACCCTTGGGACAATACTGGATATGTCATATTTGGGCAAAATAAGTCCATATTCGAGTAAGTCTTTAGGGACTGACCGACTAAAATTTTTTATGTCAAAAAAGCAAATTTTAATAGTTTTGCCATTTCGATCATTCTGCTGTGTCTATTTGTAAACTGGAATAACTCATATACTGAAATAGAATCAATGCGTTTACCGATGTCCTAATGAATATTTGTCTAGGTGAAACAAAGACACTTTTTTTTTACTTATTTGTTTCATGGGTAACAAACAAATTAATGCATCATCACCTGTACTCCTTGTTTTACACACAAGCAAAACACACACACACACACACACACACACATGCACAAGGAAATAATACATGTTGTCTTATCATTTTAGCCTTTAAAAGAATAAAAAACTTTTTTTCTTTCTGAAAAAATAAAAAAATAAATAAAAAGATTTTCCGTTACAAATGTTAAGTTCCGTTGTTCTGCAGCCAGTAGTCTTAAAATCCATTCTTGAATATTTTTCCTTGTGTACTTGAGATGCAGAAAGTGCTATTTAATATAACAGTTTTCGAGAAATTTACAACCAAATATACTTGAAATTTATACTAAAATCCCTAGAACAAGACGAATAAAAGAATCAAACTACCATTTCATTTAAAATTTCTTGTTGACTTGTTATAAATGAACGATACTGCCTGAATGCCCTGATAGTAGAGCCTATCGAGCTTCTGCAGATGCATTTTTCAGGCTGAAGAATAAACCATGCGACCATAAAAAAAGGTTGAGCACAGCAGAGATTTAAACATTTTCAGTACGGTCTCCCAGTCCACTTTTGACATGATCACTTTTCTTCCCAATGTGAAGCTGCCATCTTAACTTTTGATCAAATGTTAATCGATTAACCTCACTGACCTCTACATGCCACTCAATCAGAAATGAGGAGGGTTGTGGTCCTTTCTCAGCCTGCAAAAGTGGATGCACACGGTTTTCTACACAGAAAGGCGTGGATGCACACGGTTTTCTACACAGAAAGGCGAATCCACTTTCCTTATCTTTTCCATCAATGTTTATCGTCGTCTGCATCACCCCTGTGAACGATGGACAGTAATCGTCTGAATCGGTTCCATTCACTGCGATTAAGAAAAGTGTAACGCTCATCCATTCTCTTGAACAATCCCTAGAAATCACAGACCCCTGAACAGTCCCCTTCGGTTCCTCTGGATAGCCTTGAGGAAATGAGGTAAAATGCCTCTTATTCCAATGTCCCATCATTTCCAAAGTAACGCATATCTCCACGTCCTTCTCGAGGTCAATTGAAAGCATAATTTTTTTTTTAAGAGTAAGGTTTCCTATTATCTGACCATTAGAAAAATTGTAAATATCAAACTGAAACAGGATTTTATTAATTTTCCTATTTAAAATATAACTTGTTCTTTTTATTTTTCAATCTTACTATGTTGACTTTTCATTTGTCAAAATGATTTTGACAATTGTATGCCTCTTAGTTGAAAACAGAATATTTCATTATTTATTATATATACATTTTAAAGATTCTGTTCTTATTTAATTCTCTCTACTATTGTATTAATAGAATATTGCTTAAGATATGTTTTTATTTATGTTTGTTTTATTGTTTGTTATTTTTTACATTTAGTTAATTAACCATTAGTTGTATTATGTTGTGTCCTGCTGCAATTTCTTTTATCTTCCTTCCCCTTTATTTTTATCATTGTGACTAATGTTTGTCATATGCACCTACCTTTTTTTTTTAAAATTAAATTTTGTGTAATGTGTAGTTTGAAGTGCAATCTATGTGAAATCAATGTAATTTTTACACATTCTATTCAAAAATTGTTCTTAACATACAGAAAGACGGTGAATTTATGTTAAAAATAATGTACATGTATGATAATATTTGTGTTTTTTAATACATTTGAAATTTTTTTCACGACAAGCGATACACTTGTGTTATTTTTATTGTTTACCAAATGCCCCATTGATTTTCGTATTACAACGAATAGTGGTGTTCATAGTTAATTTTTTTTGGCAATGTGAAAAAACAAAATAGATTTGTCTTTTTACCTATTGCATTTGTTTAACCCTTTCATTTTCTTGATGTTTGCAAAAAAGTTGATATTCAATGAATGCAAGCATCATTTTATTTAGACACATAAAAGGTTTTGCCCTTTGAGTTTTTAAAAATTGTTTTGTTGGATTGAATGGAGTTAATGATGCTAATGTTATTGGCATGGAATAACTAACTAGTTATAGTAAAATTTCAGTTTAAAAAACATCAGTTTGTCTTGACTAAATTTGACAAATTTCCTTAATATTGCAAATTTGAAACAATTATGCCCATACTCTTAATTGGGCCATTGTGTGCACCTTATTTCATGCGGCTTGCATCATATGAAACATGTTATGTATGTGTCAAATATGAATTTCTTAAGAGTAAGAATTAAATAGTTTCATTTTTCTATACGCTTTTGTCTTGGTCACATACTTTTTTTCTAGAATCATGGTACGATATTTATCGTCTTTGTTCATTATCAGTTAGTAGTTTCTTACCTTTTTTATTTTTTTGCCAACGTTTCGACCTTTATTCGGGGTAAATTACAAAACTACAGATTGGAAATAATACAATTAAGATGTAAATATAAATTTTGAACCAAGTATTTCATACTCACATAAAGTGTAGTGCTATTCTTGTGGTGTCATATTAAGTAATTTACCCAGGCCCTGAAGATGATCCTAATAAAGGTTGAAACGTTTGCAAAAAAATAAAAAAGGTGTTTTTCTGAATTACCTCGTTCTTGGCCCCTCTTCATGACTTCAACAAATTAGTAACTTATTGTTTCGATCATGGTCATTAAGTTCGTTTTGCCTTATTTTAATCTAGTTTCGTTTATATTGGGTTGTCCGGAAAATAATGCAGGATTTTGGTATTAAACAAAAAAAAAGAAACTAGTTACTTTAAAGCAATGTTCTTTAATCAAAATAATTNTTGTAATTTTATATTTTTTATATTTATATTTTTTACAAGTTATACTTCTTTTGTGAAAGAGATTAGAAAAAATGTTGCAAGTTTTAAGCAGTTCTTTAATAATTGTCATATTGAAAACTAATTAGTTTTGATGAGTATCTCTCCTATTCCACCCCAATGCCTTACAACAGCTATCATTACAATTTTGCACATTGCCAAGGAAAGATGTTTAACAAACAAGTTTTACCCCCACAGACCAAAAGAGAAAATCTTACTACTTATCAAATGATTAAAGGATTTGAAAAAAAAAAAAAAAATTGTCAGTTGGATTCTTTTTTTAAGTTCATAAGAAGAAGAAAACAATAGCGTCAGATTAAGTTAGTAGTTTAAATAAGGATGAATCAACAATGAAATAATCTTTTTGTTAAAAATTTCATCATTTAAACTTGTGTTACTCAAATAATTATTTTGATTTAAAAATCAAAAACAACTTAAATTTGTCTTAATTACAGGTGATTTATATTCAAGCGTTTATATTAGTGATTCTAACCGGCAAACTTATGAGGAGGTTGTTTTTTGGAGAGCTACGTCCTGTCGAGTTAGAGGTAATTAAATATAACTGAAACATATCGTAAAAGATTGTCATGTGTGACCTGTATGTTGTCTTCTAGCATCTAATGGAAAGGTCATGGTACGCAGTAACAGAAACATGCCTAGCTTTTACAGTGTTTAGGGATGATTTCAGTCCAAAGTTTGTAGCTCTCTTTACTCTACTTCTTTTCCTAAAATCGTTCCATTGGTTGGCCGATGAAAGAGTAGATTTTGTAAGTTATTGATAATAATTGTAATAATTATAAGATATATAAATTATAATCGCTTCCAGATGGAAAGAAGTCCAGTAATTTCTTGGTTATTTCATGTACGGATAATATGTAAGTATTTTATATCATTTGTCACAAGTTAAAATTGAAAATTATATTTGAAAATTTCCCTTTTCAAAGCTCTTTTACTACTGCTTGGAACCCTGGACATGGCATTCGTACTTCATGCCTACCAGTCGACATTAGTAAAGGGTGCCTCGGTTCAACTAGTATTTGGCTTTGAGTACGCCATCCTTCTAACGATTATAATGAATATAATAATAAAGTATGCATTCCACATTAATGACTTCCATGAATTACCATGGGAAAATAAAGCTGTGTTTCTTCTGTACACAGAACTTGTTATGGGTGAGTATGATCTACTTTATGCACTTTTACTATCAAGTTATTGTCTGATTGCAATGGAAATTGAATTGAATAACTCATTTACTAATTTTAATCCAGTATATGGTAATTTATTTTGCTACTTGCAATATCAACAATCTACTAATAAACAATCGTATTTTATTCTAGCAGTATGTGTTTTCATACTCATTACCTAAACATATTGCATTTTAATGAAGTATATTTCATTAGCTTTAACTGTTTGTAAATGGACTTGTATTCATGCGCCATGACTGAGTTAAGAACATTTACAAACATTTAAACACAAGTTATTATTATTCATGTATATATATTTCGTTTTTTTTTTCCCCCTAAGAGCAGTTTATAATGATGATTACATGATAACTTGATTGATATGATTTCATCCATTAGCAAACCATCTGATCAATTTCATTTATTATTTTTATTTCAGGATTCATCAAAGTCCTACTGTACTTTGCCTTTGTGTTCATTATGGTTAGAATTTATACATTGCCTTTGTTTGCATTCAGGCCTATGTATTTTACAGTTAGGTGAGTATTTTTGCTATTTGTGTATAAACTCGTATGATATTTCTTCCAAACTGAAAAATATAGTTACAATCGTAACTGATGAGTATACATTTTTATAGAGCCTTTAAGAAAGCCATGAATGATGTGATAATGTCACGAAGGGCAATAAACAATATGAACACCCTTTACCCAGATGCTACTGCAGAAGAGCTTGCTGCTGCAGATAATGTATGCATTATATGTAGAGAAGAAATGCATTCTGGTAAGCTGTTTAATCCTCTTTTCCTTATAATTAATACCAAATGTTTATAATTTTTTGTTGTACTTATAGCCTCGAAAAAACTACCGTGCAACCACATTTTCCATACTTCTTGCTTAAGATCGTGGTTCCAAAGGCAACAGACTTGTCCTACTTGTAGATTAAATATCTTGAGAACTCCTGGAAATCCTGCTGCTGCTGCTCCGAATCCACCGAATCCTCCAAGGGGTGAACACCACCACCACCACCACCACCACCAGCAACAGCAGCAGCAGCAGCAGCAACAACAACAACAGCAGCAGCAACAACAACAACAGCAGCAGCAGCCGCCGCCGCAGCAGCAGCAACAACAACAACAACCACCTCCAGGAAATTTTCAATGGATGCAGAATGCCCAACCAGGTTTGTTTAAATATTTTTTGTCATGCTTTATGCCTAAGTTGAAGTTTTACTAATGACTGCTGTTGCATTGATCAAATAATAATTTATAATTTTGTCTGACCCTTTGGGGACCACAGTGGTCGACTGGTTAGGGAATGGGGAATGGGAATCATCATCCATCCCTAACCATCGACTAGTACGTGCCACGTTGGAGGTTCTGGGTTCGTATCCTGGCATAGCCCATGGCTTTTCTAATTGATTATGGTACAAAAAAGTATTGTAAAGTGGTTTGACATCTCATCAATTTAAGACGTTAAGGTAGGCCGTCCACTAGAACAGTTTTCGGCCGAACTTGATCGTCCATTGCACGGCCGAATAGGGCCGGATGATCTAAAAGCGAAGAAACGAATGAGCACGTGTCCATTAGATTTGCTCGGTCGTGAAGGGCCATGCATGGCCGAAGCACGTTCCGATCCAAATAAAGTTGGATTTTCCAGTCCTATTCAGCCGAATTGTTACTTTGAATTCAGCTGTCAACCACGTGACATCAAATGCTCACCATTGTTTAACGCCGTTCTTTACTTTTTGTTTACCTTTTAGTTTCGTTTTCATTTCGATGGATTGCGAAAAAATTGCTAAGTGCTGTTGAGGAGAACCAGGCTCTTTGGGACATGCATGATCCGCTCTATCATTGGAGATATGTCTAGTGCAAGCTGTAGTCGAGTATAGCTTTATAAACTTTCAATATTTTTATTTCTTTCCCTCCATTTGTATGAAAACAAAGAATTTTCAAGCAGCAACAAATCTTCTACATCCATTTGGGCTGTGTCGTGAACTGACAAAAATTGGCTACAGTGGACGATGGCGTTCGGCCATATTGCCGGTCCTCTGGTCAAATAGTTCGGCTGTTGAACGGCTGTCCTAGTTCGGTTCCAATAGACGAGCAGCCCTCCTTTATGGCAGGAATTTATTTTTAGACCTCTTTCTGATCCTTTCAAACAAATTTCCCAAAATCCTTTTTAAAAAGATAGTTATAGTAACTTACTGTGAGTAGGAATTATCTTTTTAAAAAGGATTGAACCCCGCACTCACTCCACTATTCTTCATTTCTATTAATTTCCCAAAATGTCGAGGGGCATTGGTGGAAATTGAAGCCGAAATTGAAGCCTTCTTCCAGTTTCTTATAAAATGGAGGGGAGGAAAGAATAAGTAATAACTACTCTCTGAAATAGATTTGATATAATATACTAAACACAATCAAAGAAATGAATGTTGGATTACAATGGGTTAGGGCGAATAGGTAATACCTGCTCATTAACATTTGACCCACTTTTTGTATGTAGGTAATTGCATGTAATTATAAAAAAATAAACTAAAATAACAGTTTATAAAAAATGTTTAATTGTTTACGAAAAAAAAGTAATTTAAAAACTAAGCAAATCTTGTGAATCAAGGTATCTTCCTGGGTGCTGGTCCTGGTCGACTACAGTCCTTCTGGAACTCATTCATAAAAACAAATTAAAAAGTCATTTTTTTTAAAGACATAAATTCTCAATTTTGCATAAAATTGAAAGAAAATAACATAGGAAAAATAGTAGACGTTATTTCAGGTAAAAATGAACCTTTCTTGAAGGAGAAGGTCTCATAAGAAAGCTCTAGGTTATGGAAAAAACAAAATCCACCTAGTCTCAAATAGAGCTAGAAGTGCAAAAAAAAAAAAAAAAAAAAAAAAATTGACAAAAGAATACAGGCAAATTTACAAACACATTATATCGTGAACATGAGATAGACATGTAATGGGCTAAAATTATTTCAGTATATTTAATTTTGATTTGTAACGTCAGTTTTGATAGAAATAATAAATTAATGCTAAAATAACGGTATAATTATATGTAAATATTTTGCCAAAGTAAAATGTGATGATCATTTTATTGGTGATCATCACCAAAACTCGGGTTAATAGGGGCTTAGGTATAGATGTACAGAAATATAATATAGAAATTTGCCTTATACTGCTCAGTTTTAACGATTTAATAGGGTTTCCATTAGAAGCACTAAATTGTTTGTAAATATAACCTTTTATTTTTCTCTACATTTAAAAATATTGAAATTTTTGATAATAAGCATCAAAATAAGTTTATTTTTGAAAGCAATAGTGCAAAGTAGTTTTCTGATATATATAATAAGCTAGTTTTGGCAGAACTATTGGGTTTCACACCCGGTTAGACATGTTAATCTCTGGTGTGTTCTTCCTTTCTTAAAAATTAGTGCAGATCCTCCTGTGGCAGGCCATATGTGGTACTCGACAGTTCAAAGTATGCTCCTGAGGCCCAGGAGAAATTGGACAATTTATGACTTCATTACAAAAACAACCAATGTAAAAAATGTAAAAAAAAAAAAATCAGGAGAACGAAAAAACTGTTTACTATTTATATTTTTTATATAAAACCCATGGAATGTATACTTGATGACCATTTAACAGGTTTTCAAAATTTTTTTCTTCTTCAAATGCATACCGTGTTGCAATGGCACCTTGAACTGGAAACCTCTTGACTAAGATTGTTTTTGAATGAGACTGTGGAACGAAAACTAAAAAAAAAGAAATTAAAAAAAAAAAATTAATGCACAAAACATGAAAAGTAAGACCTCATTCCTCCTCACTACCCTTATTATGAGACTCTTCCATCATGATGCTCATATTCTCTTCTTAAGTGATTGAAAGAGCACTAGCTTAGTCTCCAGGATTAAAAGTACAAAAGATCTATACATTAACAAATTCGTTACAGACGTTCTAGAATGATGCACCTCGACCAATTAATATCTTATAATTAATTAAGGTTTTTAGTTGAGATGAAAAAGTCAATGGCACGAGCGGGATTCGAACCCACGCTCTTCGGCTAGATACGCCGCTGCTCTACCACTTGAGCTATCGTGACTTCGATCCACTTGGACACTAACTTCTCATCTCAACCCCACCTTTTGAATTTTCCCTCCTTTTTGCCATTTTTCAAATGTCGTGTAATCTATTTGATTCTCGGCGACAAATTATTTATTTATGTTGTATTTGACAATGGTTGTTTTTGTGGAATTAGCCTAACTTTTTAAGATATTTAATAACTGACAATGGTTATTTTTGGAATGCATATACATTTAAATGCAGCCAGTTCCAAAAAATAAGCTAATACAATTGCATTCAATTAATATAATACTTTTTAAACTGATATCCACGACTAATTTATTTTTAACTAATTCAATTGTTGTTATTATCTGCTTAGCTAATGAACCGACTCCTCGTGGAGATGATGAAAGGCCGAGTCAACCACCACCCAATGTCTCTAGTCCATCTCAACAGCAAGCACCAGGAGGGGGCGAGAACGTACCATTTTTCCGTCCTCCACCATTTCCATATATGTTATTTAGTAAGTTGTGTTCCATTTTTATTGCCTGTTCCTTAGGAAATTTTTCAATGTCATTTGCAGTAGATTCAAAATTGTACAAGAATCATAAGCATTAACGTCTCTTTTATCGATATTAATTATGCCTACACTCAATATTTAAAATATATTTGAAAATTAATTACTTGCTATTTTTCTATCAGTGGAGTGACAGATCTATTTTGGATTGACTCCTACGTGCAATTGAAAGTGCACTTTTCTTTAGAAATTAAAGCAATTTAAGCAGCAATTAAATGATTTTTTTTTAGTATAGGTGCTTAGTACCAATAACTAGGTTGACAGTAAGATAGCCACAAAATATTTCTTTATATGCTTCTGCTTTTTGGCAGATCAGTGAAGTACATGTTTATTTTACATACAGTGATAATTTTTTTGTATCATGCTTATAATGTATTTCTTATTCTTCTGTAGATATCCCTCCTCCTATGCCCCCTACTCAAGGCCTTAGCGATGAAGAATTACGCCAGTTGGAACAACGAACTAGAGAAGGGATTGAAGCACGTCTTCGTTGTTTACAAAATATTCAGTGCCTCTTAGACGCATCTGTGGTAATGATGCAGCAATATTCAGCGGCTGTCGCTGCTAGGTATGAATTTTTAAAAAAATTAATTAATTATGTCTGTTCATACTTATAATTTTATTTTACCTACCTTGCATGCTTTGAATCTCTTGAATTTTGTTTTATTCCTGAAACCAATGTTATTTTTGTTTGCAGTCAGATGTATGACAATATGTACCAGGGTTCATCTACAAGCCGTGGCACTTGCACTTCTGATAACGTGCCAGACAATTCTGACGCTTTCCCATCTACCAACAAAAACAATCTAGCAGCTGGCTTAAATCGCGATCTTCGCACTACTGAAAATGAACCAAAACCATCAGAAGAAACCTTGGCACAATTTGCTACAGGTGAAAATAGGGAAGCCCCAAAACAAACAAAGAGCACTGAATTAGAAGAATTAGAACCTGAACCTTCGCCTTCTGCTAATAGCGTAACTACTGACAGGTAATAATATATATAGCGGAAATGTAAATATCATATCAAAAACTTATTTAGCCAAACAACATAAAACAGTGATTCTTAAAACCTTGATACCAGGGGGCTCCAGTGATGAAATGATCCTGGAGTGAGGATGCATGTGTGTCCAATGTATATCGCGGGGATTAAGATGAGTAAGGACTACATTTTGTGTCTGCTTACCTTTCCACCATTGCTATTTAAGGCAGCTCCTATAAAGTTTCGTCCGTTATCTAGCAGGATTTCAGTTGGGAAAGTTCTACAAGCTGGGAATCTGTCCGAGGATGCTGGGAAGGCATTGGTAGTAAGCTGGGGTACTACTTACATGTACAGCTTTAGTACTCAAACTGAGATGCAGATATAAGCTGTTCATATGCACGGACTCTCTTAAACGACAGGACAGTGAAGTCAACCCCGACTCGCACGAATGCTCGCTCTTGGGTGAAGCAAGATGGGGGAAGCGAGCTCATGAATTTGATAGCTCTTTATTCTCAGATGATGACAACGGTGACATTTGTGAGTGCATTAGCGGATTACTTGTAGAACAGATGTGATGCAATAATGACGATGCAACAGGGGTGAAGTTGTTGAGGGTCTGCATGTAACTGCACAATGTGGTAGTGGTCGATAAGTAAAGCAACAAACTGTGACTTACCAGGATGTAGGATGGGATGCTGAGTGTTACATGACAGCTGTGCATAGCTGACCACCTACTCATCCTCGAATGGCATTAAATTCATTAAGTTTTGCTGATTTTTGTCTCGGGGAAAATAATGGTGTTGAATGTGCAAATAAATGACTGGTCAGAAGCATCTGCAAAACCAATTAACACATTCGCGACCAGCAGATCATTTACAATTCTGATACCGAGAACCCGCAAAAATAATGAAATTTTGAACCTGGTTGCCGCAAACTCGTATTGTTAAGGCAAAGATAAAAAACATAAAATATATTTGGAAATATCAATGTGCGCTGTTTAAATTAATAAATATATATGTATTTTTGGCTTTGGCTGAGCCATCAGCCACGTGTTGACCGGATCCCGGAAGGGACACCAACCCGTTGGCAGTGCGCAGCCGACCAAGCTGACCGCCACCATGAACCATAGGAGACCTCGAGAGACTCCCCTGTTTTATATCATTCAATAGCCTTCATAATTATTTATACTTGCTTTGGCATATATAGGTAGATATATTGAATAATAGACTACTTGAAATGATTTTGCTTTGTTTATTTCACTATATTACATGTATTTTGGGATTACAAAGCTGAAAAATAAAATTTAATATTTCTGTTTAATATGATTAATAGTAAAACAACGAATTTTGCATAAAGGAACTATATAATTTGCATATTTATATAGTATCTCAACGTTTCCAACATTTTTGTGGATATGTTGATTTTCCTGACTACGATCCTTCCCAACTGGTGTGTTGATAAGTCACCTGAAAGCCTGTAAAGAGGATCATGATGATGTGCTCGACCCACTGCTATTGAGCTAGTACTTGGTATATTTTCAAGATCATGATGTTCGGTAGCAGAAACAAGCCTTTCTTCTGCCAGAGTTAGTAAAAATGTGTGGTGATTAGTGACCGTTAATCGATGTTTATTTAGAAATCTTGAGATGCGGTCTGGTGTGATGTAGGTTTCAGAAAAACATTTTCTTTATCGTGCCAACATTTCGATCTTTATTGAGATCATCTACAGGGCCTGGGATTTACAAACATTGTTTACATATAACAATTACATTTTGGATGTGGAAAAGTGAATTTATACAATGCAAAATATATTTTTTATATATTCAATCAAAGTATTTCTACTCACTCAGTGTTTGTCTTCTACGTAATTGTGCCATTCTTGCGTGTCGTGTCGAGAGTGCCAGTGAGATTTTGCTATTTTTTGCAATCATATCCATATGCAAAATCCTACAGGACTCGCTACCCACCATCTTGAACACCAACACAATTTCAACTTCAAAAATCCAAAAATATTATATACAGACCAAAACAAGCATAAACATAATTTCTTAGAAATGGTTTATATCAACAGAGATAAACACAGCATCAATTACAGAACAGATACATGTAAACTCAGTCGCAGCTACGCCAATATCATTAATCAAATTCAATACAGATAACATACCTATATCATCACATTACATTCCACACATCAAATATTTTTCACATAGTCTAATTTCCCAACAATTTAGCTTTCCTTTTCCTAATTATCCCGTTCTATATATTCCTGAAAGGATAATCTGGCCGAACCATTACCAACACATTTTTTCCCTTCGTCGGCTTCTTTGAGGTGAAAAGAAGCCGACGCCTTATACAAAAATGTCTTTTCTATACCGACTTCCTTCCCCACCCTTTCAAAATCCAACGTATATTAACATAAAACAGCAAAAATCTCACTAGCACTCTCGACACGACACGCAAGAATGGCACAATTACACAGAAGACAAACACTTTGAGTGAGTAGAAATACTTTGAAATTGAATATATAAAAAATATATGTTGCATTGTATAAATTCACTTTTCCACATCCAAAATGTAATTGTAATATGTAAACAATGTTTGTAAATCACAGGCCCTGAAGATGATCTCAATAAAGATCGAAACGTTGGCACGATAAAGAAAATGCTTTTCTGAAACCTACATCACACCAGACTGCATCTCACGATTTCTAAATAAAAGTTAGTAAAAATTTCGAAAAAATTATTTTGATATTTGGATTGAGCTTTCGATATAAAATATTTGAATTGAAGAGTGTGCAATGTAAAAGAAACATAAAAACTCTTTTTGTTCATTTGATAGATTTTCATAAAAATGAATAATACGAAAGATATTGATCAGCAAGATCAACACCTTTCGTATGTAGATTGTATTTCATTATGAACTCAAGCTTTTGAACTTTCTGTCTAGTTTTTTATTTATTTTTCTAGTCTCGATGATATTGGCATTATGCATGGTGGCAACATCTCGTTTTCCTTTCCATTTGAGAACTTATACCTCTCCTTTATACCGAAAACAGATTTACCGATTTTCAGTCTGAGATCGTTCAGTTCCTCTGGAAATTCATTCTTCCGCGTAGTACCACAAATACAAATTTTCTACTTCAATAAATTTTCAATGCAATACTATTGTAGTAATTGTCCGTGTATACATGGTACTCTTCAACACAAGCTGATTGAAGCTGATCAGTGCTTGTCAGTGGTGGTGAACGATGCGTAACCCATTTCATTATCATGTCCCATTGGTGTTCTACAGGATTCATGTCAGGAGAACGTGTTGTCCAATGCAAGGTGGTAATCCCTACATCCTTAAAGTAATGCTGTTTGAAGTTGTCCCCAATAATGAAGCGAATGGGACCACAGCTTCCAGAAGAACTTACTCAATGTACCTTAGTGCAGTCAAAAATCCATTTTGTATGTTAATCAGTTGGGTATTTGATTCCACCCCGTAAATTGTTTTCACGTTTTCTACACATACGGTCCGAGAAACCGGCACTCATCCCCCCCCCCAGATGATTGTTCAAGTGTCCGAGTGAGATGCTCATTTGCAATAGTCACCTTTTTACTCGATGCTTCTCCAGTAGTACAAAACCTGATGCTGGACATGTCGAAATTTCTTGGCTATTCTCACGAAGCCTTCTGATAACTGTCTTAGAGCTCACACTATCAAGGAAGCCGTTAAATGATAGGTCCATAGCAATAAAATTATCATTTCTAGTCATCGTATATGGTCGACCAGTACCCTCTCTTCAATTGCGACTTTCTGTGGTCCTAAACCGCTCTAGACCATCATGGATGGTACAGCGTGACACACCTACTAAATAATGGCTATGAGTTGGTGATTTTCTTAATTGTTCATCTAAAAATGGTAAAAAGATTAGTTACTCTATAAAGGTAAAAAACAAGTTAATAATGTTGTTTTTAAATACTCAATTAATTATACACAATTTTTTTCGAAATGAAAAATTTGTGTCAGGCGGGATTCGAACCCACGACTTTCGGCTCAATATGCCGCTGCTCTACCACTTGAGCTATCGTGACCTCGATCGTCCATGCCACAAACTTCTCACTTCGACTACCCAATTTTATTCTAATTATAAGCAAATCGCGGCTTCATATAGAAACACTTTTTATTAATGATTGTCCTAGATTAGCGGGACTGTGTACGATTCACAGGTGTGATTCTAGATTAATACTAAATTTTATCAGCTTCTATTAAATATATAAATACTCAATTAATTATACACAATTTTTTCGAATTTTAATTTTAAGTCAATTATTAAATTATAAATTTATAATTAAATTTTATTTTGTCAACTATTAATCTTAATACCTAGTTATTATGGAAATTAATCAAATAAAAGTGTCCGGTTTTGCTTTTAGTCTTTGAGTCTATTTAATGCGTTACTTAAATAAGAAAAATATGAATAACTTTGTTTATTTGATGTTTATTGTTTTTTGTTAATTACAGCGGAGAGTCAGTTCGTGCTGTTAGCAATCAACCCCCTCCTGGTGATGATGCTGTAAGACTGAGAAAAGTTGAAAGATTTTCACAAAACTAGTAAATTTGGTAGACTCCTTGAATTTCTTTTTATTTCATTGCCCTTAAATATACTTCTTTCTTTATAACCAAAATGCTGTGTTGCAATCAATAATGTATCAATCTTTTATTTTGTTATGTGATTACCTAAAGATTTTATATTGTTTTGAATTAAGTGATTAAGTAAAGTTCGTTTGTAAATACTTGTGTTTTCGTTATATTCTATTTTTATGATAATGTGAAATTTGTAAGCCAATATTATAATTAAAAAAAAAAAAAAATGTAAACGATTGGCAGGCATGTTTCACTGTTGATGCGAATGAAATTTGTTTAATTGATAATAAGGTTTATTTATTTCAGTCACTTAAAGTTAAGATTGTAATATTTTTGTAAATATTTCAATTTAAGACCTCCCATGTAACATTGGGAAACGCGCAATTTATTATATTTCTATTGCTGAAACAAATTACTACTGTTTATAATTTACCTCTTTTGAGCTCGTTAATAATAAAAAAATTGGACTGAATATTAAAAGAAATTGTTGATATATTTAAAATTAATTACAAGTACACACGAGAAAAAAAACAATAAGTCAAGTCAGACAGAAATACAAACAAAATACACAAACATGCCCATATTCTCCCTTCAGCTAATCGAAAGAAAATTGTCTGTCCTTTAAGGATTATGACTGGTGTACATAAAAGTAATTTATTTGTTTATGTTTTAAACATGAATGATAGTAATACAGGTAACCACTGTATGATTGTCATATTCCTATAAAAAATTTAAAAAAAAATGCCGTGCTATGTGATCTGTGGTGTTCAAAACAAAGACCTCATAAAAAATTCCAAAAATAAACATATTTTTATAATAAAAGAGATATATTGTAATAAAAGAATTTTTCATATATATATTGATATGTATTGAATGTTCTTATTTGTCATCACTAAGCACCATTAAACAAAGGGAATATAATTTTCCCCAAGATATCCATGTTTAACTTTCTTCTGCAATATTATGCAAAACTTTCTTTTTAAAATGTGGAAATTCTCCGGGCAAATTTGATACGACATATGACTCTAAAATTGGAAAGTATCAAAAATAAAACTTGATGTGCTTCCATTTGTGGTGATGTCCAATCACAAAGCGTTGAAACGTTTATCCGGAGATGTTCCTTAAATCGCCGTGTCCCAGAATATCGTATTATACAGTGGTTACCCGTATTACTCAAGTTCACACAGACTTATTTTTTAGTTTCTACTTAATTCTTTTTTAACTTGAAGCATAACCTTTCCAGGCTTTGCTGCAGTAATAATTGTTTTTTTCTTTCTAAAATATGTATACATTGTATATATGCTTGTTTTTATTCTGGGAATATGTTGTTACATGTTTGGAATGTGATTTATTTCTTTTATAATACCAGCATGTGTAAGATTATTTAATTTATACACCTTTGTTATAAGGGAACGTGTGCAAACTTCTCAGATCGGATCTTGCTCAGGTTAAAAAATGAAATTATTCTCAATGGTGCTATTTAATTAATGTGAAATACTAGAGTTTGGGTTTTAAATGTTGATCCAAATTCTATGTTGGCAATTTTTAAATATTTATTTATTGTAGAGGCCAGGGTGTTATAGTCACGTCATCCATCAAATTTCAAAACCTTGTATTTGAGAAGACCTTCAACACTCAAAGGTTTCTATTTTGTTTGCTTATTTTGTAGCCTTATAATTTGTGGTATATTTTAATTTTAATTTGTTAAAAAAAAATTGTTCTGCTGAAAAACCATACTTGACCCAGTCAAACAGGAGGTGCACTTGGAGAATGCATAAAAACATTTAAATATTTAAAGGATGTATATTGATTAAGAAAAGAATACAGATTTGAAAGTGAAATTTGTTTGGTTGAATGTTATGGAAGGCAACTTCTGTACCCTTGCATGCTTTACCGAGATGTTTTTTAACATTTTTATTTTCTGTGCCAAAATGCTTTTTCTTTTTTTGGGTGGGGGTCAAGTAAGGATTTCAACCTTTTCCCCACTCAGTAAAAAGCCTCCGAACTTAAGTGAAATAGACGCAAACACAGTTAAAAGAATTATGGGCTAAATTAATAAACAACACAATGTCTTGTAATTATCAACTTTAATCAACAACAAAAACCCATATAAACCCGCAACCTCCAATTGCCTTGCCACCGGCTCCTCAGTATGGGTCGTAAAAAACCTTGCCCTTACCATTTAACATCGAGGATGGTTAATTTTCTGTTAATTTTTTCCCTTCTTATTTTGTGTATGTGTATGTTTCATTTTGATACAAGTTGTGCCAAATTTTGTACTTTTTGTTATTCAAGGCGCTGAAGCCCCAAAATAAAATTTATTTTCTTCTTTTTTTAAATAGTCTGTCACCAGGTATCATTGCAATGGACTGTTTTAACTGAATTTTGATTGAACTAAAACAATAATTAGTAGTAACAGGGTGATACCGGTTCCCACTTTAAGAGGCCCATTTTCCTAGACAGACCCCGAGGCCTTGTTCTCTGCTCGGGGCAAATGCGGAGCTGAACATGAAATTTTATTTTATTTTGAACCACTCATTTCATCAAACTATTTCCTTCTGACTATGAGACACTTAACAAGTGAAGTATAAGAAACGCATGAACCGCTATAAGAGACCTTCAAGAAAAAGGTTTATACATCTCAAAACAACAGTTTATACCATTCATACATGTACATTATTAATAAAAATGTGTTTAGTAAATAAAATTGGATCATTTTATAAAAAGATAAGAGATATACTCCAGTTCTGTTTTAAACCATTATTATTAAATTTATTGGGTTAAATGCTGATGTTTAGCATGTTTATAAAGTCATTCGACCCAACAACAGATATTGTTGATTATTGCTTTTTTCAGAGAGAGAGAGAGAGAGAGAGAGAGAGAGAGAGAGAGAGAGAGAGAGAGAGGCATATTATTTGAACTATGCTTATCAGCGCTCAGGAATAAAAGCAACCTTTGTTTCTTTTGTGAAAGTATGCATGCCGATAAGTAAGATTGCTAGGCATTCTTCCTTTCTCCTATATCTTCTGGATTTTGAGCCCATTGTATAGTTGTAATAGTAATTATGGGAAATTATGTTGAGATAAAAAAATAATCATTGATTCTTTTTTGGTAGTGAAGCTTGCCGTTCCTTGATATCATTCATCAGCACATCTTTTCAACGTTTTACTTTTAAGAAAAATTCTGAATTGTGCTAATTGAACAAAAATTACTAGTAACGATGAGCTGGGTTATCGACCTGCTGGAAACATGAAGTTTTTCGGAGGATCTACGGAAGAGGTGAACACAGAGAGAAAAAAAACTTCCTTTCAGTTTTCGCCGTGCTTTCGACAGTTTTTATACTGTCATCTTCAGGGCTTTAACCTTAATGGGGAAATAAAAAGGAACATGGTGTCGTGGGCACCGAAGTACATTACGTTTTTTGGTGCTCAGCATCTCGTGATGCGTCTAAAAAACATCATTTTGTCGGGGGCGTTTCCCGGAGCCTTTGTCCTCTCGTCGAAGAGGGTTTGTTTTTAATCCGTGATCTTATATATATGTACCTGAAAACAAACGGTTTACTAGTTTTTTGGACTTTTACGAGATGCTGAGCACCAAAAAACGTAATGTACTTCGGTGCCCACGACACCATGTTCCTTTTTATTTCCCCATTAAGGTTAAAGCCCTGAAGATGACAGTATAAAAACTGTCGAAAGCTCGGCGAAAACTGAACGGAAGTTTTTTTTCTCTCTGTGTTCACCTCTTCCGTAGATCCTCCGAAAAACCTCAAAAATTACTAGATTTATGTATTATTTCTTCTCCTGAAGTTAAATTAGAATTCATCGATGAAAGTGGTGTTTAAGACTTCTCAGCTCATGTCATTTATGTTGGATACCCACTGACATTGAGAACGCAATGAACCTGTAATTTGGTCGTTACTGATCATTTTGGTCCGACTTCTCGCTGTATTGGGTCAGTGACGAAAAGCTTCACAGGCCAACTTAATATGTGCCATGGTCTTGAAGAAATAATAATTTTTCTATTATTGTAATTCAATACTTAATTACTATTCATTTGAAAGGTTTGGGTCTATTTCTACTTGAGAGAGCTGACAGGACTAGGGATATGTTGGACATGGCTTGGGATTATAGGAGCGATGAGAAAGTTTACTGTGGAGCTTAGTAAATTTTTGGATAAATGGAATTTTAAGGTCTTCGTGAAGGTGTTGGAGACAGTACAGATACCTGTATTAACTCATAAATCGGAATTTACGTCAGATGGTTGTGCCATGACAGAGAGGTCAATTTTTACAAGGCTCAGGGGAAAGTTTCTAAACATATTTATAAAAATGTACTGGCAGGATATTGAAAATTGTATTGGAGTTATTTTTATAGGCAGGACAGTATTGAGAGGTCAGATCGTTCCAGATAGCCAACAGTCTGACAGGTGTTGATTTTTTCATGTTAATTATACTTTAGTGTATTTTTTATCCACGTTACTCGGATTTATAAGTCACTGATGATAGTTTTAGCTTTAAATGGCTGGCTTTAGTCGGATGTCGGATTTCATCTTGAATTTTGGGGTCAGCGTGATAGGCTCATAGACCCCACAGTCGTGGGTTCGATTCCCACCAAGCCCATGGCCCTTTTTTCACGCTACCCTTCCCCCCAAACATTACTTTTTATGATGAAACAAATACGTACGTATACTCTGGCTAATATGTAAGTTCACAAGGCCGTAAAAAAATTCAATTTTTTACATCTTCTGTGGGGTGTAAAGGATAAGAGGAGTGGTCCAAGCATACTGCCCTCCGATACTCCAGCGGCCAAAGTCAGAATAATCTTATCTTCCCTCAAGTTAGTAGACTTGAGTTGAGCTTTTGGTTAGGTCTAGTCGTGTATGCTCATTTTATGTTAAGTTTGAGTCTAGGTGGACTCCTTAGGTAACGCAGTCAAATTTAGGGACAGGAACTTAATTGTAATGAAAGGGGATTTGCTTCGTAAAGTAAATGTGACATGGACGCACTTGATTGACCCTCATTTTCCAGTCTTCTATACACTAAAGTCTCTGAGACATTTGTTTTTGACTCTTTAAAAGGAAATTTAAAATATGCTTTAGGAAGGACTTCGAAACCCGTCAATTGGAATAATTTTTTTTTCATTAATTTAGGTTTTGCTATTGTTAAGGAATTCGAAGAACAAGCTGGGAAAATACGTACAAGAACTGTTTTCTCGGCCACTATTAAATAAATGCTTCAACTGCGTTGAACCGGAACAAGAGGCAAGTCTTTTCAAAAAGAACCGGCTTTCAATGCAAAGGGGATTCGAAGTTTCGACATGTACGCAGATTTGCCCGAGGGACGATCAACGTTGATGAATAGAATAGAAACCAAAAATCTCCTGGCGAGATTTGGAAAGTAAGAAACAATAGCAGGAACAGGCAGCGAATCCTAACAGAATTCTTGGGATCATTTGAGAAAGTTTGGTGTCAACCAACACGGTGGAGAATTTACGAATACGCAGAAGATACCGCACCGATACCGTAGACGCAATACATCCACTAAAATAGGTCTTAATACTCAAATTCTTTGATGAATTGTGATCCGTGTGCAATATAGCTTTTGGCGTCGAATTAACCCTTTTTAACTTTAAACTAACCCTTTTTAATCATTAACCAAACTTAGGAGATGGTACGAAATACTGCAAGTATGTAAAGTAAAATGATCAAATATTTGGAATTATTTTTTGTAATATAAAATATTTGGCACTTAGGAGATAAGAAAATTAAAAGTTATATAAATTGCTTTTTCCGTCAAATTAACCATTTTTAACATAAACTAAACCTTTTTAATCATTAACCAAACTTAGGAGATGGTACGAAATACTACAAGTATGTAAAGTAAAATGATCAAATATTTGGAATTATTTTTTGTAATATAAAATATTTGGCACTTAGGAGATAAGAAAATTAAAAGTTATATAAATTGCTTTTTCCGTCAAATTAACCATTTTTAACATAAACTAAACCTTTTTAATCATTAACCAAACTTAGGAGATGGTACGAAATACTACAAGTATGTAAAGTAAAATGATCAAATATTTGGAATTATTTTTTGTAATATAAAATATTTGGCACTTAGGAAATAAGAAAATTAAAAGTTATATAAATTGCTTTTTCCGTCAACTTAACCATTTTTAACTTAAACTAACCCTTTTTTATCATTAACCAAACTTAGGAGATGTTATTTAATATGGAAAGTAAAATTATCGTGTATTTGCGACTTTTTTTTAATATAAAATAAATGGGCACCTAGAAGAACAGAAAGTGAAGTTATAGTTTTTCTGTGCGTCAAACTAACGCTTTTTAATTTCAAATTAACTCAGGAAGGAAATGTATTAAATATGTAAAGTGAAATTCTAGTATACTTGCGAATTTTTTGAAAATATGAAACAATTGGAATCTTAGATCAAATGAAAATTAATTACAATTAAAATTAAAAATTATATAACATTAAATATAAAAATAAAGGATTCTCCTTTTATTTTGAGAATTAAAAAAAATATATAAATTGGTTCTTACTAAAATTCTACATAAAAATAATTACAATTTTTTTACAGATATGAAAAATACCACATAAATTAATTACAATTAAAATTAAAAGTTATATAAAACTAAATGTAAAAAAAGGGTTATTTTTTAATTCAATAATAAATTAAAATTTTTAACAATATACAATAATTAATTATTGTATAAACCAATTATTTTATATTTAAAAAATCTGAATTAATAGAAGAACAATTATATTTAAGTTTGTATCACTTTTAATTGTAGTTGTAATTAATTTTTTTGTAAGATGGGTTCG